TAGCAACTACTTGCCATGGTCTATCAGGAATTTTGTGACTAATTATGGGTTTATTACTGTTACAGGGTTGATACATAAGAGAGATTTGTTTTCCATCCCAGGCCAGAACATTATATTGCAAGCTTCCTGCTTACATTTTTCAATGCCTAGTTGATTGGCATGAATACATGACAACATCTGTGGATGAAAGCTTGTAGGAAAAACAATCTTCTCACCTTTGAAGATTATCACATGCAGATACGAAAGCTCATCACGAAGGTTCCAATAGCTCAAGCATCTAAAACACTAAAGTATTTGGCACCAGCTAGCTTTAGTGTTATGTCTTCAAAGGTAGGTAATAGGTAATGAAGTAATTTGATGGCCTTGTAAAGATCTCTCGGGTCAAAACACACACGTAATTTGTTTGTGCATGGTTATTCATCTACAACCATGGACTTAGCCCATCCAACTGGCTCTGTGACCTTAATGATGACATTTTGCCACTCCATACTTTCAAGCTCCTCTTTTATATGGCTGCAGAGTGTGAGAGGAACACATCCAGGAGGGTGGTTTACTGGGGCTGCATGCAAGACCGTCTTTAATATTGATTGATTTTTTGGCAAGCATTTGCTTGAACTCCCTGTACACTGCCCCCACCCTATTCCATGGCATGCAATAACTCCCTCCATCCCAAATCACCCCCCCCCCAAAAAAAAAACAATACACACATGGATCATAGACTTGCCTCAAAGAAATGTTAATAATGTAGGGTGCATACAGGGGTATGTTTGTATGTTTTGTTGTCTTTTAAATGTGGAGTTACATTTGTGTGTAGCATTGGTGTTTGAGTTAAGGGTGTGTTTATACATAATTTTGGATTTTGAATTCACATATGTGTTTGTAGGTAATGTTTGTGTTGACACACATATATACACACAGATACCCACAGTGACACACAGAAACCACATTGGTACACACACACAAATACACCCAGAAATACATATTGACACTCACATACACACAGACAAACTCAGATACACATACTGACACACAGATACATACATAAGCACACAATGACACAGAGATACACACACTGACACACAAATAAACACACTGGCAAATCCACATTCACATATATACACACACTGACACACAGATACACACACTGACACACATACACACACTGACATATGCAAACACAGATGCACACACATCATAATTTGTATATTTGTAGCCACCCTACTGTTAGCATACATTTTGTCTGCCAGAGGGTGACGTGCTTGGGGTGCTGCTCCTGAGGCTGATGTGTGGGGAGTCTGCAGAGCTAACCCTTCTGTCACTCCCCGCTGCTGCCTGTGTCTTTTTTGCCTCCTGCATGGCACTCTCTCCTTTTAGCTAGGAGGAAGGGACTGGCTTCTACTTCCTCCCATCCGATACTACAGGGACCCAGGTCGATAATCAGCTCATCAGTTTCTTACTTATTGCACTGACCCTTTTCATGCGTGTGGGATGACAGACCTTTACAATGTGGTTTATCTTCCCACATATTTTGCACATTTTTCATTTTGCAGGACAGATAGATCGATCGGTATGAGACTTGTTTCCACAAAAGCTGCATTCTTTGAGACACCCTGAAGCAACATTACTAGATTGAGAATGTTCTCAGTATTTCTGTGTGGTTTCGGTATTAAGTTGCCTCGGAATTGCACCTATTACTATATGGTGGGAGATTGCGTGCACAGGCTGCTCATGTGGAGTGCTTGTGCCATTTGAAAAAGTCTTTAACTGTGTCTGAGCCAGTTCATGATATCTAGCAACATCTATTATTTGTTCTAGGGTTAACTCAGAGCCCACATTCAAATGTTTCTCTCTTATTATTGATAAATGATTCCTAAACACAATAGAGTTGTGGACCATTTTGTCATTGTTTGTATAATTGCAGTCTTTAACAAGGAGACGCCAGTCTGCCAAAAACTGCTCAAAGGGCTAGTGATCTCTCTGCACATTCTAATGGAATTTATAACATGCGCTTTGGGCTCCTGATACGCTGTGAAGCAGTCATAATATGACTTTAAATTATTTGCTTTGTCTGTAGACAATGGCTATTTATTAAAAATATCTCAGCCCTTCTCTCCTATCCATAGGAGAAGGTAACAACATTTTTCATCCTCACCCTTTCATTTAAAGGACCACTATAGTGCCAGGAAAACATACTTGTTTTCCTGGCACTATAGTGCCCTGAGGGTGCCCCCACCCTCAGGGTCCCACTCCCGACGGGCTCTGGGGAGAGGAAAGGGGTTAAACTTACCTTTTTTCCAGCACCGGGCAGGGAGCTCTCCTCCTCCTCTACGCCTCCGATCCTCCTCTTCAGCTGAATGCGCATGCGCGGCAGGAGCTGCGCGCGCATTCAGCCGGTCTCATAGGAAAGCATTTACAATGCTTTCCTATGGACGCTGGCTGATTTTCACAGTGAGAAGCACGCAAACGCCTCTAGCGGCTGTCAATGAGACAGCCACTAGAGGCTTTAGAGGCTGGATTAACCCTATTATAAACATAGTTTCTCTGAAACTGCTATGTTTATAAAAAAAGGGTTAATCCTAGAGGGACCTGGCACCCAGACCACTTCATTAAGCTGAAGTGGTCTGGGTGCCTAGAGTGGTCCTTTAAGGGGTTAGCTGAACATATCTGCATGGTGTCTGAACATGCGCCTAGCTTCAGCTAAATTACTTGCTTCCCAGTGCATTGTGGGTGTTTACTTAAGTTGAATGCAAACTTTTATCAAGCTTGTGCAAACATACAGCGGGAATGCTGTCCTTCAGCAGCAGGCAGGAACTGGCAATAATGTCTGCATTTCACATTTATTTTGATTGACCTATGATAAGGAAGCATGCATTTCTGACAGGTGATTGGTGTACAACATATACTACACACTGCTGTTTTGCCTCTTTGGACACACACTAATATAAACACACACTGATTTACACACATAAACACACACACTGATGCACCCACACTTATGCACTCTGATACAAACATAACTACACACACTGATACATGCACTCACATACACACAGAGAGACACACCGACACAAAGAGACACACACTGCCAGACACAATACATTCACAGGTTTTATTTTACTAAAGTCATGGTTGGAGTAACTCTTTAATGATTATTATTATTTTTTTTTTTTATTCTTTATTTTTGTAGTGCAAGTATACAATACAAGCTGGTAAGAGGTGCCCCAAAAGCAGTCCTCTGGCTTTTCCCACGCATAACATGCGGGGCACATGAATAACAGGCACAATTTTTTTGTTTTAAACATGCTTAAACAGTCAGATTTAAACGTAGATTGAGATTACAGTTTGAAACATGCTAGAGCTTCAAGAGTTAAAACAGTACGTGTGGCATCAATATAAAATGCACATTTTTGTGGTTATAATGTGGCTCGGTAATGAAATTAACGATACATTCTAAATATGAGATTATGGGGAAATACTATGAGACACACGTTTAGGTACAGTGTAGATAGATGGGGTCTGGAACAAAGCGGTTAAGGCATATATTATAACAACAAACAAGGTGTGACACTGCGTCCCCATCTACATGAAACAAGGTTCCACTGGGTGGCCAGGCAGGTGTTTTACTGTCGCCAGCGTGGGTGAAATAAAGGTTCAGAATGCAAACGTAAAATATTTAGCATGTGGTCGCAGGGAGGGGGAGTATGTGAACCACAGCTTTGGTCCCTGGTTGGGGGCCGTGTAGTGCAAGCAAGGAGGCCCTCAGCCTATGCCTGTTTCGGGCATCGGTAGCGTATACTTGCTGTGTCCATGCATAGTTTGCTGCTCAGCGGAGCCCTCGGGTTTAGTTCCATCTTTGGTGTTTCTGTGAGAAGCGTCCTATTGTACAGTCATGCGGTGTTCAGCCATACTCTCTGGATGTAGAGTTGTGCTTCTTTGGTCCAAGGTTCTTTGTTTAGGTAGGTAGTGTGGCTGCAGGGGTTGCTCGGTGGTCCTGCCGCTGTGTGTGTGGGAGCGAGTGCCCGAGCCCCGGTAGTCTGGTGCTATATTCTGCCATAATGGTTTTTGGCACCTTTGTGGCTGCGTGATTGCCCTGAAAACATGTAGTGGGTATCTGTAAGGGCGTCTGCGGGTCACAGGGCGGATCCATAAGGCGATCACTCTGGCTGCTCGGTTACAGGGCACTCCACGATGACAAAGTATTGTCCAGAGGCCCTTCTGCAGGCGATGTAACCAAAAGATCGGTCAGGTTGCCTGATACACCTGTCCAGTGGGGACAGGGATATCCCCCACTGGTCCAAAGGGGGGTTGGAGACCTGCTAAGTCGCTTAGGGGGTCAGGTGTCGGAGAGAGCGGCCGTCTCTCCCTGGCTCCGGCTTCTGTAGGCCGTGCTTGGTGTCTCGCTTTCCTAGCTCCGATGGGCTCCAAAAAGGTCACGTTTTGTTCAGGGGTAAACCCCTGATGTGGGTGATGCACCCTGGTGAGTCCTTGGGCTAATTAGCCCCCGAATATTCCCTTTTTCCTGCCCGTTAAGCAGGAGCTCGTGTACCCTGCTTCTGCTCAGTTAGGATTATTTTTTTAATCACATAATGGACATGCAAAGAGCTTCAGGGGCTAAAACTGTTGCTTTGAGCAACAATTAAATATGTTAACATTACGTGTTAAACATTGAAGTACAAACATAAGACTTGAAAAGATGTTTTTTACTAAAAACACATATGCTAGATTGAAGTTTTCCCTTACAGCTAAATTGTAAAAGTATGTAAACAGAGCATGTGAACTAAAAAAAAAAAACACTGGTTTTGAATTTTATAATCATTCCCCAGAGCATATTATAATTTTGCAGTGACAGTCAGAGCTGTCTGAGATATGGCTGTAAAGTATCACTACATGTTTCAGGACAGGAACGATTCTGTTGGTGTGTGGGAGGAGAATTAAGTGGCTGGAGGGGAGGGCAGTGTGTAAAAAGACAGGGTGTGTGTTTTCTGGGAAAAGGATTTTATATTTCTACAATGCAAAGCGCTGGAGTGTGTGTCAGGGTGACGTCTCACGCTGCTTCTTGCTTCGGAATTAAACTGCTCTATGAAATTATTGACAATTAATTGTATGGTACCAACAAAGAACACAGCACTGGATACTTCAGTAACGTGTATGACAACAGACGTTTGACAGAAACAAAGACAGGTAGCAAACAATCCGACGTTGGCTCTATGTAAAGAGATATATGGAAAACCACCTGAGACATTGATTTGGATTGTACAAATCAGCAAGCAGGCATGGGGAGCAAGAATAGCTGGCTCGATCACTTTGTCTTAGGCATTTGGCTGTCTATGATTTTAACTGCTGGGTCAACCCAGGGAGGTGAGTACAATGCCATTTATTGTTTGTGAAACATTTCTTGTTTTATGGCGAATAAGAAAATAAAAACTGAAGGTATAATACATATCCTATAGTTACAGATCACTAGATGTTTGCAAACTGCATTTCCCCTGACCTTTAGCCAGCCCTTACTACTGCAGGAGTAAGAGTATATAGATATCAAATGTTACATGGTCTGTTTGCGCAGGTGTGACATCACAAACGATATAATGGAAAGTGTTATGAAACTTGCCAGTAAAATTGTGTCATTATTTTTAATCATATTTATTAAAGTGTTGTAAAAGTGATCTAAAAAGTGACGGTGTTCTGTACAGTAAATCACTCCAGTTTGTGCATCATTTTACATTTCAAATTTAGAGTCTCAAAAAAAAGGGAAGAGAATAAAAATACTTATCTGCCAGAAAAAGTGGCAAAAAATTGATAAATCTGTTCCGTTGCTAAGAACAATGGCGTGTATTCACAAATGATAGGAGCAAAAAAAAAACAACAGATGAAAATATCCAACAGATATAATACATTTCACTATAAACTTGCCAAACAGACATTAAAGTCAGTGACACTATTCACCCCCAATGACTCAGTAATCACTCTGGAACTAAATAAAAAATAAATTAGGAATATAATTATTTGCTATTGTTTTACAGGGGACTTTCTAAACCAACTGCTGTGATTAATGAATTAATTTTACAATCATAGACTTATGACTTTCACAAATTGCTGGGCAGCACTTTCATAGCTTGTGGAATTCATAGAAGTCCTAAAGAAACATAGACATCTTTTAGCAACCCCCAATCAACCCAGTTAGCCTAATAAATGACTCCTTCTCAGAATATTCAGTTCGGAATAAAACAGGTGGTCTATGCCATATGCATGCTTGGATTGTTAAACTGTATTTGGTTTGTAAAATCTTCTTATAAATGTGCTACAATGTATTTGGTCAGTAGCAGTTCGTTTTAAGATCTTATAGTTTAAAATGCTCCCTTTTTATAATTCCATGAATCATACAATGTACATGTAAATACATGTAATGGAATACATAAAGCAGTATATTTATTGTCATTATTTTTATATGGTGACAACTTTTGTTGCTTTAACAATATTTGGTTAAAAGTGTCACAAAATATTATTTAACAACCATCAAGAAAGAAAGACAGAAGCTTCAGAGCGCTGGTTTGTTTCCTACACTGTGTGTAACACATTAAAATGGTGTTGAGTGAAGTTAAACTTTTGACATGTTATAAAAAAACAGCAGCACTTAGTAATACCACGGTAATTAGTCATAGTCCTGCTCAGTGCTTCCAGATATCTCTGCAACTCCTCGAAAGTAACTATCGTGACATTCTGAGGGGGAAAAACATGAGGCACAATATTTGTATCCAGTTTATCTACAGGATGTTTGTTTCAATGTCTGGTGTATATTTAGCATTGTTGCTTAGCGATGGACGGAGAAGCAGATAGCAGTTTAAATTTATTCAGGAATTAAGACCATAACAAAAAAAATAATGGTTCTTCCCTAAACAATTAGTTGAAGAGAATTGAAACATTATTTGCAAAATGGAGGCAAAAAATAGCTCATTTGGAAAAATTCTTCAACACAGCTCAAGTCAAACAGGGTTATTTAGTAAAGTGACAATTTCCACAAATACAACGGGAATTGAAAGGGTATTTCAAAATGCAGAACAAATTGCAGAGTTAGAAAATTTCTCCAAGTAAATTCCATATTCAGTTTGGCTATTTTAGCCTTAAATGTGAATTCCGTTTGAATTCCTGGTCATTTTCAATTTTCACATAGGACACGAGGTCACACATTTAGGCTGGAAGAAAGGAGATTTCATCTAAGGCAAAGAAAAAGTTTTTTTTACTGTAAGAGTAATAAGGATATGGAATTCTCTGCCTGAAGAGATGGTTTTATCAGTCCATACAGATGTTTAAACTAAAATTGGATAAATACTTGCAAAAACATAACATACAGGGATATAATTTCTAATTAGTGGGGTAATAGCTGCTTGATCCAAGGAGATATCTGACTGCTATTTTGGGGTCAAGAAGGAATTTTTCACTAGTTTGTTGCACAATTGGAAGCGCTACTGACTAGGTTTATTGCGTTCTTTTGGATCAACAGTAAAAACATGTGTGAGGAAGGCTGAACTTGATGGACGCAAGTCTCTTTTCAGCTATGTCACTATTTAATGCTATGTAATTTAGTAAATAACCCTGAAAGTTTGTCAATTTTAGCATAAAGTATGCAATTTGCTTTTCGATTCCATACCATTAATTGTTTGGTGACTACACCTCTTAGTCTAAATGTAAATAAATTATTAAAGAAAACTGAATTTATCACCAATGTAAAAAAAAAAAACAACAATTGTGTAAGTGAACATGTATCTAAATCTGTACATAGCATATAACCGTGCAAGGAATTTATTATATGTACATATCACACGGCAGAAAGGAGAAAGAAATACCCGTCTGGGACCAATGCTGGCAGGGGCAAACAATGGCTAGTTATAACTAATTTTGTTTTGAAGATAATTATTTCCCTGAATTGTACTGAAGTATTTTATGAAAAACACATTTTTTGTCAAGAGTTACAGAGACCACTTATGATTAGAGCGGTGATGTAATTATTGTTATCTGACTGTGAATTTAAAAATGTGCACGTGCACACACACACACACACACACACACACACACACACAAATTTATACGTTTTCCAGTTTTCTAATACTAATAGAGAAATTCATTAAATTTGTAAGTTTTTAAACATATTATATACACTTTTTAGAATTGTATCATTCTGGAAGTCGATGCCACATAGAGATACATTTCTTGTAAAAATGTTTAATGGCATTTTGGACCCTTAGTGCCATAGAGTAGTTAAAGTGCCCGGGCAGGTAGTTCTGTTCAGTTGAGTATCTTATTAGTACATATGTAGATGATTAGTTTGGGGTCATATTGGGCTTTATTCATTGGAAACAGAATATTAGGGTATTGAAACCAAATAATGTATTTTGGACAAAATTTTGTGTTTTGTTTTTTTAATTCACCGCAGTCTTCTGTTTAGTGAATTGCCTTCCAGTATTGCACTAACATCCCCCATCATTTTCTACTAATAATGGCTTAATGTTTTTAGGGCCACTTTACAATTACGATACGAACACAATCTATACCAACATCTCCCTTTAGACTTGATAGCGACATCAATGGTTTGTTTAAACTTGAGTTTTAGTTTTTTTTATTTCTTCTCCATAATTACATTATATTGTCATATATTCAATTTAAGGACACAAAAGCAATGTGTGTTCTCTTCGTTGATATATTTGTAAATATTGATGATATCAGGTTGGAACTATTACTAAGCAGTGACTTATGGTGTACCGAGAATAGGTTGGAAACAGGATTATAGAATAAAGTGAGAAGTCAAAGTGAATTTCAAATTCAAGGTCAAACTAGCCAAACTGCAAACATTCTCTAAATCGGCTAGGCTTTCAGTAGAGCTAGTCTGGTCTTAAATAGCCCCAAGTCAACTGTAATATTGAGAGAGAAATAATATGTCTGTAATGATTAATGTATGCAGTTATAGAACTTATCAGCTGTTATGCTAACTAACAATGCAAACTCCATTTTGCTAACAAGAAACTGCATTCTATGAAGATGCTATGCCGAATCGTATAGGATTATTCACTAAAGAGAGAATTTGAGATTAATTTAAAGTGATTTTAAGTCTGCTCTACCTTCCATTCAGCTAGACTGGCCTTAAATTTGAAAATCACTTTGAATTCACCTTAAATTCTCACTTTAGTGAATGTGTGGTAAGAGTCAGATAATAATTGATGAAATAACTCTGTTCTAGCCTTGTTTTAGCCTTGTTCTAGCTGGTTTTAGTTCATTTTTCCATCTACATTCTTATGTAAACAGGATTATTTTGGTATCTCAGATTATAATTCATGTGGCCAATTAGCACCAATCATGTTAATAAATAATATAGCTAATTCTGCATGTAAATTTGCTGTCTTCTCAAAATAACTCAACATACAGCCATTAATGTTTAAACCGTTGGCAACAAAAGTGAGTACACCCCTAAGTGCAAATGTCCAAATTGGGCCCAAAGTGTCAATATTTTGTGTGGCCACTATTATTTTTCAGCACTGCCTTAACCCTCATGGGAATGGAGTTCACCAGAGCATCACAGGTTGCCCCTGGAGTCCTCTTCCACTCCTCCATGACGACATCACGGAGCTGAGCTAGAGACCTTGCGCTCCCCCACCTTCCATTTGAGGATGCCCCACAGATGCTCAATAGGGTTTAGGTCTGGAGACATGCTTGGCCAGTCCATCACCTTTACCTTCAGCTTCTTTAGCAAGGCAGTGGTCGTCTTGGAGGGTCATTATCATGTTGGAATACTGCTCTGCAGCCCAGTCCCAGAAGGGAGGGGATCATGCTCTGCTTTAGTATGTCACAGTACATGTTGGCAATCATGGTTCCCTCAATGAACTGTAGCTCCCCAGTTCCGACAGCACTCATGCAGGCTCAGACCATGACACTCCCACCACCATGCTTGACTGTAGGCAAGACACACTTGTCTTTGTACTCCTCACCTGGTTGCCACCACACACACTTCACACCATTTGAAACAAATAAGTTTATTTTGGTCTCATCGGACCACAGGACATGGTTCCAGTAATCCATGTCCTTAGTCCACTTGTCTTCAGCAAACTGTCTGCGGGCTTTCTTGTGCATCATCTTTAGAAGAGGCTTCCTTCTGTGACGAGAGCCACACAGACCAATTTGATGCAGTGTGCGGCGTACGGTCTGAGCACTGACCGGCACACCCTAACCCTTCAATCTCTGCAGCAATGCTGGCAACACTCATACATTTATTTCCCAAAGACAACCTCTGAATATGATGCTAAGCACGTGCACTCAACTTCTTTGGTCGACCATATCGAGTGGAACCTGTCCTGTGAAACCGCTGTATGGTCTTGCCCACCGTGCTGCTGCTAGGTTTCAGGGTCTTGGCAATCTTCTTATAGCCTAGGCCATCTTTATGTAGAACATCAATTAATTTTTTCAGATCCTTCCAAAGAGAGTTATTTGCCATAAGGTGCCATGTTGAACTTCCAGTGACCAGTATGGAAGAGTGTGAGAGCGATAACACCAAATTTAACAGACCTGCTCCCCATTCACACCTGAGACCTTGTAATACTAGCGAGTCACATGAAACCGGGGAGGGAAAGTGGCTTGTTGAGCCTAATTTGGGCATTTCCACTTAGGGGTGTACTCACTTTTGTTGCCAACAGTTTAGACATTAATGGCTGTGTGTTGAGTTATTTTGAGAGGACAGCTAATTTACACTGTTATACAGGCTGTACACTTACTAATTTGCATTGTAGCAAAGTGTAATTTCTTCAGTGTTGTCACATGAAAATATTTAATAAAATATTTACAAAACTGTGAGGGGTGTACTCACTTTTGTGAGATACTGTATGTCTGTACAATGAGCTGAAGTGGTTTGGGTGCCTATAGTGTCCCTTTAATGGTTAATACAGCATGGTTCAGGGTTAGAAATATATAAATATAAATGCATGTCAATTCCACCAAAGATTACGGATCACCAGATGAATTATAAAACATATTCGAGTTTAGGATTGTACTTAGGTCATAGTATAGGGGTAATTTTGTAGGGATTTATTCAATATGTAAGGGTCCATTAAATGTAACTCTAGGTTGAAGCTGCTGGTCTTTCTGTCACCTGTCAACCCCCGTCCACCCCCCCATTATTATAATAAAAACTGTAAGTTGCTAAAGACTGAACACAAAAGCTACATAAAACAAATAAGATAAGCATGTTATTGAGTTGTCAGCTCACCGCATGATACTGCCAGTTTTTTAGTACAACACAATGCAAAACACCACAGGCCACTGTTGAGTTACACTTGTTAAATTTATGCTTTATTTATTGTGCTAGGGATTTTGTTCTGTACCGAGTGTATGCTATGACTTTGTTATGTTTAAATAAAACATTAGGCATCTGCCTAAAAATGTTTGAATGTGTCAAATAATTGAGGAATGGCCACATTTATTGCGTTATTATTTTTAATTTAAGGACAAACAGCTCAATTCGTTGTATAATTTTTGAAAGTGGAATGGTCACATTCCTTTTGTTTTACTTAAACAAACACAGTCATTTTTTTTTTTTTGTGACAAGGGTACGTTCCTTTTTTAATGTTTTATATAAAGAAGAAAAGTCAGTTAAAGAGATGTCATCATGTTTACTTTATCTTTTTATTCTCTCTAGTAAGCATTATTTAGATTTACTGGGGTGAATGTAGTTTGAAAAATGTTAAAATAATGCAATAATGATTCTTTATTTTTAATGCCTGGGGTAATTGCTGCAATTTTTGAAGCCAGCCTGCAAGAGCAACTCAGGACAATTCAAAGCAAAAATAACCCAGATCACAATTTTTATTATGTGACTTTTGGACGTTTTATGAGATAAATTTAACAGGGTTACTCACTAAAGTATTCAAAGTGAATTTAAAATTTAAGGCCAAAGTAGCTAATCTGAAACCACAGCTGTTTTAGAGAATGTTTCCTGTTCAGCTATTTTGATCTTAAATTTGAAATTCATTTTGAATTCTCACTTTTAGTAAATAAGCCTGTAAATAAATAAATAATACAAGCACGTAACCTTATATGCAGTTATATATATTCACATTAAAACTGCCAGGCACTGTGGAATCTGTTGGCGCTATATAAATGGCAATAATAAATAAATAGATAAATAAACCAAGAAACAAACAAACAACAAAACAAATACCAAACAGCTTAATATGTCCTAACTTGGGATATTAACAGCTGTTCTATAACTTTATGGCAATTTGGGAGTTAAGATTTCGTCTAAGGCAAAGGAAAGGTTTTTGTTTTTTTTACTGTAAGAACAATCAGGATGTGGAATTCTCTGCCTGAAGAAGTGGTTTTATCAGAGTCCATACAGATGTTCAAACAGCTACTAGATGCATACTTGCAAAAACAGAATATTCAAGGATATAATCTTTCAATGTGGGGTAATAACTGCTTGATCCAAGGATAAATCTGACTGCCATTCTGGGGTCAGGAAGGAATTTTTTTCCTAGCTTGTTGCAAAATTGTGCTTCAAACTGTTTTTTTTTTTTTGCCTTCTTTTGGATCAACAGCAAAAAAACAAATGTGAGGAAGGCTGAACTTGATGGACGCACGTCTCTTTTCAGCTATGTAACTATGTAATATGTAACAGCAGTTAGATGCATTACAATATGCTCATATCACCGACAGCAATGCCATAGACCTTTTGGGAAACATAACCTGACAGACTTGTTCTAACAAGCTCCTTAAAAAAAAACAGGAGCTCAAAATATGTAAATGTTAAATATTTAGAATCTACTTACTCCTACTTTGCATTTATATTCATACATATTGCATTCAGATTCTAGATTATATTAAGTTATAGAAAACTAAATTAATGAGAAAAAAGAGCAGCGCCTGGTTTCCTCCAGACATGACGCTTTGAATTGAGGCCAAACAGTTTGATCTTCATTTCATCAGACCTGAGAATCTTATTTCTCACTGTCTAAGAGTCCTTTAGCTGCTTCTTTGCTAATTCCAAGCAGGCTTTCATGTGTTTTGCAGTCAGGTGAGGCTTCCATCTTGCCTGTCTGCCATAAAGGCCAAATTGGTGAAGTGTTTCAGTAATGTTTGGAGTGTTGCAGTGATGGGTGGATGTTGCAGTGATGGGTGGAAATTTCACTCATCTCCACACATGATCTCTGGAGCTCCCCCCAGGTTGTCCATCAGGTTCTTGGTCACTTCTTGAACCAAGGCTCCTCTTTCCCCTTTTCTTTAGGAAGAGTCCTGGTTGTTCCAAACCTCTTCCATTTGAGAATCATGGAGGTCACTAAGCTCTTGGGAACGTTCAATACAGCTAAGTTTGTTTGTATCTTTGTGCCTCAACACAATCCCGTGTCTGAGCTCTGAAGGCAGTTCATTTGATTGGCTTGATATTTGATATGATATGCATTTATAGCTTATATCTCAAAGACGATCCAGATATATGGCATGCATCCAAGCTAAATCTGAAGTGTAATAGCGAAGGATCTAGATACTTATGTCAATATGATATTCTTTTTCCTTTTTGAATGTGTGTCAAAAACCTGTTTTTGCTTTCTCATCGTGAGGTATTGAGTGTACACTGTTGCAAAAAAAAAAAAAATGTAAACAATTGCAGCATAAGCCTGCAAAAAAAAATTAAAAGGTCTGAATACTCTCTGAATATACTATATATACACAGCATTTGTTTTGCACTCTAGCACCTGTTGAAACTGCAAGGAGGATCAACTCAGCTTTTCTTTTTTTTTTAGATCAATAAAATGAGGACCATTCTATTGCAAAATAATAACATAGGGACTCTAGAATGTCCTTTTATTTGTTTAAGACTAAGATTATTATTATCTTTTTTTATAGTATTATAGTTGAACCTGAGTGGAGGCTTGCAATCTCCAGTCTTTTCTATTTTCTCGTATTGTATTGGTTATTGTGGCAGCTGCTGTTTACCCTTCAGGTAGCAATAATATACATTGTGAGTATACCAATATGGGCTTAGAAAGACATACTTAGTCTTTGGCATACAGGGACATAATAATCATTGAGTAGTCATGATGCTTGCTTTATTTATTGTGCAAGAAACTCTGGGGGTCATTAAAAGAGTGTTGCTTATATTTGTTCCCTTTTGTCTCTATTCATTTTGCAATTTTTTTCTATTTCTTGCACCAACATTTTTCTTTTTGTGGAGGATTTTACTTTAAAAAAAAAAAAGTCATTTTCCAGTATTTATTATATTTTATTTACTTATCTTCAATATTTAATAAGCGTGTGTTTGTAGGATTTGAAAAATAAAAGTAATTTAAATATGCGACTGTATTTAACTCTATTTTGGAACAAAGTGCCCACAACTTTCATCAAATATTTTCTGGGAGGCAGACATAATAAGTGGCCAGGTGACAACATATGTGGGCACACAATTAGCTGAGGTTGTTATAGTGCCTGCAGTGTTCCTTTAATAAGCAACACAATGTATCCATATTTAGTTGAAACATCACATGATACCTTGCTCCAAAAGAAAAATATATATTCCTAAATTAAAGGTATTTGTCTCATATTCATCGGCACTCCTAAACATAGGAAAAATAAAAAAGTATGCACATTACACTTACTCCATCAGTGCAAATAAACCTATCAAATAGGAAATTTCTCAAGACTACAAATCGTTGTAATCAATTAGTCATCACCATATGGAAATTAAAGTTTTCAATTGTATTTAACTCCTACCTACGTATTCCGATACAGCATTATGACTATTGCCTTATATATGCAGAAATGTATGTTCAGCAAAATACATACAGAAAGAATTACAAATAAAATAGAACATACAAGCATAATATTACATAAATATCCTCAATATGAATAACCCATTAGATCAAGGAATGTTTAAAACATACTCACATATAAAGTTTATTCCCAATACATTTTTAAGTTGTTAATTAAGTTGATTTTCGAACAATACACCCCCCCAGAGCGATTCTTATTAAACTTGAACCGTCATTGCATCATCTTAACATGAAACATAACATCACTAGAAAGGATGATGTTGCATAGATTCTAGAATACAGTTGTACATAATAAACACCTACAAAATATTAAAAAATATATATAAATGAATGCATAACAAATTAAAAACAATTAAATGGAGAAGATAAACCACAAATCCGAAAAGGGGAAATAGACAAATGAAAGACTGCACTACATTCAAAAACAGGAAAAGGCTCTATCTTCATTCATATAATCGGGATAAACTGCATCCGATTTGTATATCCAATAGAATTCCCATTTTTCATCAATCCCACTTCACATGTTTCATTTTTGAAGTGTCGGGAAATGGGCCAATATTATAGAAACCAATGTTTGTTCACACAGCTATCATTAAATCTGAGTAGCGTGAATGTCACAATGTTTTGTTTATAAAACCAATGTTTGTGATAGTATTCATTGATATTTTTTTTGCTTTCAATAGAACTTCTCCCTACCCCAACCAATGTTACCTTAAAAATGAATATGTTTACTCTACACTGGGAATGGGAGTCAAATAACATCAATCCTGTTTGTGAAGTAAAGTACAACCGTGCAATTAGTAAGCCAAATGTAAGTTTTGCTTTTATTTACTATGCTTTTAATTTGTTTCTAAAATACATACAATATTGTATATGTTTGTGGTTTTAGCAAGTGCGTAATGCATGTAATTTCAACTGTATGTTATTTTATATATGTATATAAGAAACAGTTAACACTGTATACCGATCGATCATCCAAACCAAAATGTCCTTAGTCACCCCCTTCCAACACAATGTGAAGAAGGACCAGTTCTTCACGCCCTTACTCTTATGTGCCTTGTCCATCTGCAATAATGTGTATAAAATATTAAGTAGTTTAACCCCTTAAAACCGTAGGGCGCACTATTACGCCCTATTCTAAGCGGCCCTAAACGCCGCAGGGCGTAATAGTGCGCCCTCCGGTTTTAAGGGGTAAGTAACAAAAAAACTTTGGCCAGTGTTTGTGACCAAATGGCTACTAAAAAAGACTGGACATAGCCCATTTTCAATACCTTGGGTTGTCTACTATTGCAAATGGTATGCCATTATGGGTGTAAATTTAATTCCTGGGCTACTATACAGTCTCAAAGGCAACGTAACCAATCTGGCGAATTTCAGTTTCAAATATAATGTGCTATATTTGACCCTGTAACTTCCCAAAACACCATAAAACCTGTACATAAGGGGTACTGTTTTACACAAGAGAATTTGCTGAATACAAATATGTGTATTTTATTGCAATAAAAGCAAACAGTATTATGACATTGACAGTTAAAATGTCACGTAGAACTAAAAACATTTTTTTTCTTATTTTCTCCCATTTATTTCATATTAAATTATGTTTCATAGCTAAATATTTGATATTAAATGAAAGCCCTGTTTCCCCTGAATAAAATGCTATAGAATAAGGGTGGGTGCATTTAATATGAAAGAGGTGAATTACGGTTGGACAGACATATAGCGCAAATGCCAGGGTTTGTTTACGTTTTGTTTTGTTCACAACGTGTACATTTGGCTCAGTCCTTAACCACTTAACGCCGTTACGGCTTTCTATGCCGTCCTGGCTTTAAAGGGCTTTAAAGCTGCTGCGGAGGCATAGAACGCCGTAACGGCTTTCCGCCCCAGGAGATCGCAACTACTTACCTCCGCCGCGATCCTCTTCTGGAGGCAGCCCTCCCCTGGCAAATGAGGCCCCCGGGGGCCATGTGATCGCTCTCAAAGAGCGATCACATGGCCCCCTATAGCTGGCTGTGGATCTGCCAGCAGGGGGACTGTCTGAAATATCAGACAGTCCCCATGCTGGTGGGTAGTGTAAAAAAAAATCATTAAATATGTTTAAAAATAAAATAAATATATATATATATATATATATATATATGTAACGTCATACAGAGTGTATTTTAATATTAATATAAGTACATATATTAATATTAAAATACACTTAGAATGACGTTACATATATATAATATGTATATATATTATATATATACACATATATTATATATATATACATATAATTACAATAAATAAATAAAATAATAAAATAAATAAATAGAATATTGAAACAAAATTTTATATAAATTATATATTCATATGTAATTTCATTCTAACTGTATTTTGTTATTAATATATATATATATATTGGTAACAAAATACACTTAGAATGACATTCTATATATATCTATCTATATATAAAATACAAATAACCGCAAAAATATATATGTAGATAAATACATATAATTACATAAAAGATTACATTAGTATACACGTAGAATTTAAATACCTATAAATGCACATATATAAAAATTATACGTGTATATTTAAGTAATCTTTTAACATAATTATGTGATTTGATTAATTAACATTTGATTGACATGCCTGACAACACACGGAGAAAGTGCAGAGAATTTAATTTGCAAGCACTATATTTGACCCTGTAACTCTCCAAGACACCATAAAACCTGTACATAGGGGGTACTGTTTTACTCAGGAGACTTCGCTGAACTCAAATATTAGTGTTTCAAAATGATAAATTGTATTACAACGATGATATTTTAAGTAAAAGTGACATTTTTTTGCATTTTTTACAAACGAACAGCACTTTTATGGACTATATTATTGTTGTAATATGTTTTACTGTTTTAAAACACTAATATTTGTGTTTAGTGAAGTCTCCCGAGAATAACAGTACCCCCCATGTACAGGTTTTATGGTGTTTTGGAAAGTTAGAGAGTCACATATAAGGCTTGCATTTCATTTTTTTGACATTGAAATTTGCCAGATTGGTTATGTTGCCTTTGAGAGCGTATGGTAGCCCAGGAATGAGAATTACCCCCATGATGGCATACCATTTGCAAAAGTAGACAACCCAAGGTATTGCAAGTGGGGTATGTCCAGTCTTTCTTAGTAGCCACTTAGTCACAAACACTGGCCAAAAGTTAACATTCATATTTGTTTTTGTGTGAAAAAAAGCAAAAAAAATAATATTTGGCCATCATGGGGCTAATTCTCATTCCTGGACTACCATACGCTCTCAAAGGTAACCTAACCAATCTGACAAATTTCAATAAAAAAAAAAAAGAAGAAAAATCAAGCCTTATATTTGACTCTGTAACTTTCACAAACAGTATAAAACCTCTACATGTGGGGTACTGTTATACTCAGGAGACTTCGCTGAACACAAATATTAGTGTATCAGAACAGTAAAATGTATCACAGTAATAATATCATCAGTGAAAGTGCCGTTTGTGTGTAACAAATGCAAAAAAACATCACTTTCAATGACAATATCTCTGTGATACGTTTTACTGTTTTGAAACACTAATATTTGTGTTCAGCGAAGTCTCCCGAGTAAAAGAGTTCCCCCCATGTACAGGTTTTAGGGTGTCATAGAAAGTTACAGGGTTAAACACAGTGCTAGCAAATTAAATTCTCTGGACTTTCGGCCTGGGTTGGCAGGCAGGTCCCGCAAATTGCAATCATTAAAATTACTTAATTAGGTAAAAATATTACATAAATACGCACGTAGAATTTTAATATATATACATATTTATATATTTGACGTCTACGTGTATATTTATGAAATTATTTATGTAATTATGTATATGGACATATGTACATTTCGTATTATTTTTATTTATTTATTTATACATAGATATATATCATTACATTCTAAGTGTATTTTGATAAATATATATATATATATATATATATATTAATATCAAAATACTGTTAGAATAAATATATATATATAATTATTTTTAATTATTAAAAATTATTTTTACTTTTTGTTATTTATTTTTATTAACATATTATTTATAATTTATAATATATATATATATATACACAATATATATAGTTATTATATATATTGTGTATATATACATGTGTAATTTAAATTAAAAGTGTATTTTTATATTAATATACGTATATATAAATATATAAATACACTTAGTATGACATATATATGATATAATACATGTACATATCATATATATATATATATATATATATATATATATATATATATATATATATATATATAAATACATATTTATTTATTTTTTACACTGATTGCTTTATTTTTTTACTTTATTTTGGATTTTTCACTTGCAGGGAGACTGCCTGTCAGCACAGACAGTCCCCCTGCTGGCAGATACACAGGCACCTATTGCGGCCGAGTGATCACGTGGCCGCGGGGTCCTGATCTGCCGAGGGGAGACTGCCCGGGCAGACAGGCAGTCCCCCTGGACTGGAAGGAGCCCCCGGCGGCGATCAGGTAAGTAGCCCCAGACCGTTATGATGGTTCAGGACCGTCATCGGTCCCCAAGGGGATTTTTCCAATGACGGTCCTGAACCGTCATCGGTCGTCAAGGGGTTAAGGGGTTAAAGCATATAAATAAAGGGATAGTTTCATTTTGTTTTGATGTTACCTGAACAGCTATAACAACATTGATGTGACAGAAAAGCAACAGAGTGTGTCAAAGCCACACCTCTATATATAACTGTACAAAATTAATGACTTATTGTAATAATGAAACCGCTTCCTCTCGGGATGTTCCAGACCTTATCCTGTACAAATAGAATGTATATATAAATGGCAGAGGAGTATAGCTGATAGTCTACAGAAAAAAAAAACAAAAAAACAATACAATAGTATAATACTGTAAATAAACAATACAACTGTGCCAATATAAGTAGAACTCACAAGGTGTAAATAATAAGATCGCGTTAGGGTGCCTCCCCTTAGATGTTTGGGGGGTACATCCAGAACTCCCTCTCAACTGGTTGGTGGTGTCGCCACAATATAGAAGTCTGGACTCAGATAAAGGTAAAAACAATCTGCTTTATTTCATACGTATAAAAAGTAAAAAACAAATATGGTCCAACATGTTTTGTCTAACAAAAGACTTCCTCAGGGACCCAATAATAAAAAACAAATTGTAAATGTAAATATAAAAGTGCTGTATCCTGACAAAATAGCAGCTTTTTTTATTATTGGGTCCCTGAGAAAGTCTTTTGTTTAAAGCAGGTAGCAGTTTACTTGAAAAAAAAAGAGTTCATAAAAACAAGTAATACAAAATCCCAAATTGGAGCAAGATTGAACATAATGAACTTTGGAGCACACACAGAATACCACACTGTTTGGACAGATCTGTCTCCTTCCCTGGATTAGCCCAAATTGCCATTTCACAAATGTGCATTCAGTGATTTGAGAGATCTTTGCCCATGGCCTGTTTAAAAACTGTGAGCTGGGCTGTGTATAAGAGCAGATGTTATATGGCTTCTAACCAATTAAGGTGCAAGTAACGTGTAAGACTGCTTGCTTCATTTTGGGATCTTGTATTACCTGCCACTTTATTGGTATTTATTATTTTATTTTTTTATTAACTGCTACCTGATTTGAACTTTTATTTACTGTTGTTTTTTTATTGCTATTAGACAATGTGTACTTGATTTAATAATTTATCAGACTGTGCATATAGTGCTATTTATTTTTTTTGCAATTGTGTCTTGCTAGTTTTTTTTTTATCAGATCATGGTCACATTATCTGTTTCCTTACTGGTTATTGTGTGTGTGTTTTATACTGTTTATTTTTCTTTTTGCTATCTTTTTTAAGATGATGGACGGACAGTCACTCACAGTAAGGGCTGAATGCGTGTGAAAGCTGTGCTCTTCTTAGGGTGGAATGAGTAAGTGGGTCATCAATTGACCACTGACTTTTTCCTTAAATTTTTTTGTAACATTCCCTTTTTTAATTTTAAATGACATTTCCTGCAGCTGCTCCCCATTTGTCCCCCGTTTACCTTTTTTCATTAATGCAACATTGCAAAAAAAATAAAACTATTCTTCTCAAGTCAATTAATCTCTCACTTGTTTCTTTTTTAAATAGAGATTAAATAATTTCAGTTGACAATTTAGAATTGACATTGCAAAACTGGTTGAGATTGCATAGCCATTAGTCTTTTTTTGCACTCCCTGCTCTAGATATGCATATTTTTTTACAAATTATACTAGTCCAAACATTAAACAGAGAACTCTCAAATTAATATTTTTGCCATTGAAGGGACACCATAGGCACCCCGACTACTTAATTTCATTGAAGTGGGTACACTGTCAGTGCCCCCTTCAGTTCTGCAATGTAAAACATTGCAGTTTCAGAGAAGGTTTGACTCCTTGAAACGACACGGTATGCCCTCACATTGTGCATAAGGGCATCCAGCGTCAAGAAAAACTACATAGGAAAGGCAATGCTTTGCTATGGGGAAGGCCTAATGCATGCATGGAGTTCGCCGCAAATGCACATTAGGACCACCCATTACTGATGTTAGAGGAGGCTGAGCGCAACCCAGTGCAGAGGGACATTGTAGCTGGAATTGGGTAAGTGAATAAAGGGTTATTTAACCTTTTAAATCGCTGGAGGGGAGCCTCGGGAGCAGAGGAACATGTCAGTGTTAGGAATACATCTTTGCATTCATAACACCAAAGTGTTCCTTTAATATTCCCAGTGGATTAGAGGCTGTCGAAGAACACGAAACATACAGCTACTCAGACAACTAATCTGGCCGTGATCTGAACCAGCCGTGCTAAATACAAAGAATATGTTATTGGGCTAATTAGCTGACAAAGAATAGAATAGTGGGAACTAGTGACGAAGCAAAACATTTGTTGAAATCTAACAATAATTTAGATGAGATAGTTTGTAAAATCAATGAATAGGCTGGAATTGTCACTTTTACTTCCTACGATCTGAAAATGTACTGCATATTGTTAATACTTTTTTAGTAGGACGTCAGTCTGTCTGGGTAGATCCCCAGTTGTTTTAAAACTACAACTTCCATAATGATATGACATTCTAAAAACATTCTAAAGGCATGCAAAGAATCATGGGAGTTGTAGTTCTACAACATCTGAGTATCTACCTTTGGGCACCACTTTATGGCCTAAAGCATATTTTTATTTGATTACTAACTCTCCCCCTGTCATAGCTACTTATTAGCCCCCGTGTCTCATGGGTTGTTGACTGTTTGTTGTCCCTATATTCGGATTACCAATAAACACATCCATTGGATTTGTCTATTTCTCTCTTTGTTGCCCGGATTGATTTCTTGCTAATATTTATCATATTTAGCTCCAAAAATAGCATTCTAAGAAAGAAGCTTCCTGGTTCCTGATATACTATACTGCCGATACCAGCGCCTCCTACGTGGTGTTTTCTGGTCTTACATTTTAGGCACTGAAGTTATTTCCTCCCCAGTTGCATTATCAGTTAATTGATACATGGTATTGTGTCCTTTTTTAACGTAGAATCACTACTGTCAGTATGCAGGAAAACCCACAAAACCTCATCTGCTGCTTTACAGTGTCTCCGGACAGTCATTTCAAGCTTTCAATGTCAGCATTACACTATAACAGTAATGATTGGGTTCGCTTTAATTGCAGCACCGTAACTTGCCATTCTGCTTCACGAATATATCATACCACCTTTCAGAAAATAGCTTCCCATAGTTAAAATGTCCTGTTATTACATATATTTTCTGGTAGCATCTATGTTTGGTCCTAAATGCATTTCACAAACTTGTCTATAATGTGCTAGATGGTTTGGTAATTCTAATCATTCATTTTCAAATCCTCAGAACCCCAAAATGTGCAGAAATAAATCACTATTTCAAGACGAGGACACCAAAGAAATTGATTTAAATGTATGGATCAATTTTACAGTTTATAGTGAATGTCCTCAGAACGGACTAAAAAGTAAAGAGACGCAGTTATCCACACTGTTGGTATCAGGTAAGTAAATTGTTAGTAAATTATAACCTCTATAGAGTTTGACCCCAATGGTGTTAACAAATACCGATTTTTAACCCCTGAAGGAAACATGATTCCCTTTTATTCCAGAAGTTTGGTCCTTAAGGGGTTAAGGAATGCATAAAAGGGTTCAAAGCTAGAAAAGAACTTGGGGTCACATGCTTTTAAAAAGAGGTTTTTGTTATTTGGTAAAGAGATACAAGTAACCAATGAAAGAAAAAGTGTAATCTTTGTGGAGATTTTTGTATATATATATATATATATATATATATATATATATATATATATATATATATAGAGAGAGAGAGAGAGAGAGAGAGAGAGAGAGAGAGAGAGAGAGAGAGAGAAAGCATTCCACATAAGAGCTTTAGAGGATTAGCAGAATGAAATACGGATCACTGTAAAGGTTATAGTGCTGTGAGTACTTTGCACCCTCTATTAACTGAGAGCAACGTCATTGGAGATATTTTTGCTTCCTCCTTTGCCACGCACTATTTGGACACATTTGTCTCCTTTCCTGGAGGTAGCCCAAGCTGCAGTCTCACACGTATGACTTATTTATAAATAAGTCGATTTGGCATGGACGTAGGGCAGCAGGTAAAAGGACCTGCAGAATATTGAATTAATCCTGTTAACAAGGCACAGCCAGCACACCATGCTTTTATCAATCTGTTCAGTCACGTAGTTCTTCTCTTTCCTGGGAATGCTTGGGTTACCCCACCAGTGCAAGTTACCTATTAAACCCATGTTCTACATTCCACTGTGTTCAGTGATGTTAATCCCTGCAGAGTATCCACTGTGGAGTCTCTGTAACCAGTTACTAAGATGTCACCTTCTATTCTTCCTATCTGCAACGAACATGAGTCTGATGAGAGGTACCGTATATACTCGAGTATAAGTCGACCCGAATATAAGCCGAGACCCCTAAATTTACCACAAAAAACTGGGAAAACTTATTGACTCGAGTATAAGCCTAGGGTAGGAAATGCAGCTGCTACTGGTAAATTTCTAAATACAATTAGACCCCAATAAAATTACATTAATTGAATCTGTATTTACAGTGTGTGTATATATGAATGCAGTGTGTGTGTTTGTGTAGTGTGTGTGTATATATAATGAATGCAGAGTGTGTGTGTATATAATGCAGTGTGTGTATATAATGCAGTGTGTGTTTATAATGCAGTGTGTGTTTATATGAAGGCAGTGTGTGTATATAATTAATGCAGTGTGTGTTTGTATGAATGCAGTGTGTGTATATATGCAGTGTGTGTGTGTGTGTGTATAATGAATGCAGTGTGTGTGTATATAATGCAGTGTGTGTTTATATGAAGGCAGTGTGTGTATATAATTAATGCAGTGTGTGTTTGTATGAATGCAGTGTGTATATATGCAGTGTGTGTGTGTGTGTGTGTATATAATGAATGCAGTGTGTGTGTATATAATGCAGTGTGTGTATCTAATTAATGCAGTGTGTGTTTGTATGAATGCAGTGTGTGTATATATGCAGTGTGTGTGTGTGTGTATATAATGAATGCAGTGTGTGTGTATATAATTCAGCACACCATGCTTTTATCGATCTGTTCAGTCACGTAGTTCTTCTCTTTCCTGGGAATGCTTGGGTTACCCCACCAGTGCAAGTTACCTATCAAACCCATGTTCTATATTCAAACCCATGTGTATATAATGAATGCAGTGTGTGTGTTTGTGTAGTGTGTGTGTGTATATAATGAATGCAGAGTGTGTGTGTATATAATGCAGTGTGTCTATATAATTAATGCAGTGTGTGTTTGTATGAATGCAGTGTGTATATATGCAGTGTGTGTGTTTATATGAATGCAGTGTGTGTATATAATTAATGCAGTGTGTGTATATAATTAATGCATTGTGTGTGTGTATATAATTAATGCAGTGTGTATATAATGCAGTGTGTGTGTATATAATGCAGTGTGTGTTTGTGTGAATGCAGTGTGTGTATATAATGCAGCGTGTGTATATAATGCAGTGTGTGTGTGTGTGTTTGTGTAGTGTGTGTAAACTGGGTGAGGGGAGTGTGCGTGTATAATGCAGTGTGTATATAATACAGTGTGTGTGTGTATAATGTAGTGTGTGTATAATGTAGTGTGTATATAATGCAGTGTGTGTATATAATGAATGCAGTGTGTGTGTATATAATGAATGCAGTGTGTGTGTATAATGCAGTGTGTATATAATGCAGTGTGTGTTTGTGTGAATGCAGTGTGTGTATATAATGCAGTGTGTGTTTGTGTGAATGCAGTGTGTGTTTGTGTGTGTGTGTAAACTGGGTGAGGGGAGTGTGTGTGTGTATAATGTAGTGTGTGTGTGTGTATAATGCAGTGTGTATATAATGCAGTTTGTGTGAATTCAGTGTGTATATAATGCAGGGTGTGTATATAATGCAGTGTGTTTGTGTGAATGCAGTGTGTGTGTGTGTGTTTGTGTAGTGTGTGTAAACTGGGTGAGGGGAGGGCATTTTTATTACTGAATTTTTTTAGATTGTATTATTATTTTAATATTATTATTATTTTATTTTAATATTATTTTAATATTATTATTATTATTATATTTTAATATTATTATTATTATTATTTTAATATTTGTATTATTTTTTATTTAATTGTTTTTTTGTCCCCCCTCCCTGCTTGTTGCCTGGCCAGGAAGGGGCTATGTTATGTCCAGTGGATGGGCTGTGCAGTGGGGGGGCTGGCATCGCGCTGTTACCTTTCTTTGTAGCAGCTCCGGTCAGCTCCCTTCACCTCCGTGCAGCTCCCCTGACAGCTCCGTTCTGCTCCCAGTGTAAATCTCGCGGTCTGCGTGCCGCGCGGTGCCGTGGCAACCCTCCGATGGTCGCGGGTGTCGCGAGATTTAAACTGGGAGCTGCACCGAGGTGAAGGGAGCTGACAGGAGCTGCTGTAAAGGTAAGTAACAGCTCGCTGCCAGCCCCCAACAAGACCGCCGGGCTTGTAATGAGCCCCGCGGTCCTGGTCTGTATTATGGCAATGTAAGTTGCCATAATACAGACATTGACTCGAGTATAAGTTGAGTGGGGGTTTTTCAGCACAAAAAATGTGCCGAAAAACTTGTCTTATACTCGAGTATATACAGTATATTAAATGTATGAATTAAAATGTATGTGTATTTAGTAGGGACAGTCTCTATTTTAGGCCCAAGTCCCTCTGTTCTGTCCTAATGCTCCTCCTTTCTAAAAGCTTCATATTGGTGTATCTGAGTGTATAACAGAGATCAACAGCGATAATACAGCCAGTAATGTGTCTTTAAACTACAATAAATGTGTTAAGAAATCACTCTGTGTCAATAGGATCACACTATTCTTGTACTAAATGTCATTTTAGTTGCGTGGATTGTTTTCAGTAAGTCACCGAACATGTTTTAGAATGTCCCTGCCCCTGGACATACCACACCCCTAAAATTAAAGTGTCCCTCTTTGTCCATTTGTAATGTTGGGAGGTATGCTGCTGTTAGTATATTTGTAAATGCAAATGTATGGGTACATTTCAAGAGCTTTGCAGGTGGGCTGAACTTGATGGATGCATGCCTCTTTTCAGCCTATAACTATGTAACTATGTAAATATATAAGGTGTCCTGGTGTACTAGTAAACTCTTTGGAATGGTATTATGTTGCAATCTGCATCCTGATTGGCAGATTATATGCTTCCTGGTGATTTATTCTCTCCCTGGAATTTGCATACCAGTGAGTGCCAGATTACCAGTTACATACTGTCTGACGGATTTGGAGATTGTTGAGAAGAATATTGAACTAGGAAGAATATAAATAAAAATGAGCAGAGTCTCCGTTTATAGAATTGGTCTGAGCCATGCTATTTGAGTGCAAATATGCATGCAGGATTATTCATTACATTTAGAATTTAAGTTGAATTCAAAGTGAATTCCAAATTTAAGGCCAGAGTATCTGAACTGAAAGCATAGCCGATTTAGATAATTCCACTCCAAAATATAATATATGAAAGTGGTAACAAAAAATTGTACTCATCCAAAAGTTAAGTGTCAGCCTCCCTTGGATCACCCCCAGTCGGCGATCCTATATCAACAAAAGTATATATACAAAGCAAAGGTAACCAGCTGATAATCTAAAAAGAAAGGAATATACAAAACATAGTGTGAAACCACATAAATTGAATTATATACGCGGTTATCAAAAGTACTCACAAGATAGTAGCGTAATCAGGCATGTATAAGGTGATATTATCCACTCCTCCGGATGTTCACCACTAACATTCAGGGCTCCAGGTAATAGGTTGAAGAAAAGCAGCATTAATCGGTATAGCATAAAATCTTCAAAACAATAATAAATGTATGATCGGTCCGATGCGTTTCGTCCTTAAAATTTAAGACTTCCTAAGGGACCATGCAATAAAAACGATGACAACATTTACAAATGCAGCAAACAAGCAGCCTAACAACCCCCTCCCCTGAGTCTCTTAAATAGTGCTAATCCCTAAATTCACCAGTGCGCATTTTCCTTCTTCTGATTGGTCGTGTGTTTGTCTCAATCACCTGTTGTGGTAGTGCAATTTCTCCTTGTTTCTCACAGCTGTTGTTTTCATTTTCATCCTTGTAGCTGGAGGTGGTATGCTTTCCAAAGATTCACATCCGTATGTTCCATGTGGCCGGAAGTGGTATACGTTTCAAAAGTTACTTCCGTGCGTTCCACCTGATGTTGATATGCGTTCCATCATGATTCAAATGTCCAGGCAATCACATATGATACAGTGATTATAAAGCCCCTTACTGGATATTATCATGAAGAAAAAAGCTATGCTAGAAAGAAAAGACTATTTAGTTATAATATGTGACTTATTAAAAACATATAAATAGTCTTTCTGTGATCCATAGTGCTGTAAATCAACCTCTATATATCAATTAAGTTTTATTTAGAAGTAAAAATTATATTATAAGCGGTATCTAAATTAACATAGCTTTCAAAAGTGATGTACATTTTAATTGGATGTCTCTTTTGTCATGTGATAAGTGCCTCACCAGTTGTAATCTGTATACTATATAAGAAAATTAAATTTATACAAAAATGAAAATAAAAAATATGAATAATAAACATTTATACATAATATATAGTAGCCACACATATCCACCCTAATTTCCCTTCCTTCCATCCTTTATTTATATACTGTAAGGAGTTCCCTTTGGAACTTAAAATATATCCAATGTAATCAAGAGAAATAATGATAGTTAAAAATGGTAAGATAATAATAATGAATTAATAATAATGATGGACTAAGAACAAGTAACATTAAGGGCTAGGGTGAAAGAAAATAAATATTTCAACATTTTTTTTTTTAATTCTTTATTTTTGTTGTGCATGCGAAAGTACAAAATTTGCACACTATACAAATATAACAAAGAGTGGGTTTGTCACATATAGACAGTTGTACATAGAATTCAGCACATTTTTATAATAAGACGAGCATCGTGCATATTCAAAAAGACATAGCAAGGTTTGAGTAAATGGTGGGATAGGTAAGTGTTAAGTGATAAACCACCAGGTTGTGACAACTTTTGCTTTGGCATAATAAGTGACACTAGAGTGATAAAATTGAGAAAATTAATAAAATTAGTTGCAATATAGACTCAGAAAGCAAAGTGAAAACTATAACTAAAATGTCTTTCTTTACGCTTAGTAAGCCGTGACTGTGGGGTCAGACTGAGAGTTGGAAATTTAAGCCAATATTACAGGTATGCCTTACTTGTGGGCAGATCTGTCTTCTAGGCACCAATCACCTTCATATGGTTTTTTATAGTTAATGAATTCTATATGTTATTTTGTGCTAGGGAGATACAGGCATATGTGAAGTGGCACTGCAGCACGCGCTGCAAGTAGGTAACCATCGCTCGATTTAGCACTTGGAGTCCGCTCATTGTGTAATCTTGTTAAAACAAGCTAGGCATAGTCGTAGGTATGTAGCGGTGAGATGATGTGGCAGACTCATGTCAATATTTTGTTATGAGACAGTAGATTAAGTGTTAGCTGGTCTAGCCAACATCGGAACCGTGTCTGCATGTTAGGTTAGGGTAAGTAACTACAGGTAGCTGGTAACCCCAACAGGCGTATAGAGCTATCACATGCATCTCTATGTAAGTGGCTGGGTTGCAGGCTGTTCTTATATGTCTGAGTGTTAGCTGGTTTAGAAGCTGTTACTGTGGAGACCATAGTGTGTTAGAGCGTCTAGGCAAGGCTGAACATGTGTTAGTCCTAGTTAATGGTGTGTAATGTGGACAGCAATACATCTTTTCCTATGTGGGGAATATTTCAACATTTTAAACATTCAGAGGTTAACAGGAAACAGACGCGATACACGTCTACATTTAACTCATTGGGTTTCAGAGTCTGTAGTTTGTGGATCCAGTAGGTCTCCCGTTGTGAAAGTCTCTTGACCTGATCACCCCGTTCCAATGGGGCAAGACCTTTTCAATCCCAATACACTTAAAGTTACTAAAAGAGAAAAATGGACAGTTGTTACAATGGATTAGGACACAGTGTGTTATAAGACCATTTTTGATGTTATTAATATGTTCCATTAATCTTATTTTGAGTATTCTTTTAGTTCGGACTACATATTGTTTGCCACACAGACACTGCAGTAAATAAACGACAAAGTCCATGCAGCATCCAATGTCCGATCTGATTTTGAAAGACTCACTGGTAACAAAATTAGTAAATTGATCCGTTCTCTCTATATATACTGTATGGCATGTCTTACAGGAATTACAACCCCTAAAATAACCTCTACTGGAATTTGTGGTGACTTTTTTATCCCGATGGCATTACTGGGTTCTAATAAATTTTTAAAATTCTGATTTTTTTTTTTCTGTAAAAAAGTCTAGGATGTTCTCCTAAGGAGGAGTTAAGTATGGTGTCCTGTAAGAGAATAGACCAGGATTTCTGTAGACCCCTCTTTATTTTTAAATGATCTGAATTATATTGCGTTTTGAAAGCAAAACCAAAGAGGTCCATTTTTCTCTTTTAGTAACTTTAAGTGTATTGGGATTGAAAAGGTCTTGCCCCATTGGAGCTGGGGTGATCAGGTCAACAGACTTTCACAACGGGAGACCTACTGGTGAGACTCTGGTGAGATTCTGGAGTTAAATGTAGATGTGTATCACGTCTGTTTCCTGTGAACCTCTGAATGTTTAAAATGTTGAAATATTTATCTTCTTTCACCCTAGCCCTTAATGTTACTTGTTCTTAGTCCATCATTATTATTAATTAAGTGTTCTTGCATAGCAAGACCACTTATTGTTATCTCACATATATATTATTATTCTTATTATAGCCAAATTTGCCACCCTAACTCCTCCCACAGTTTTTACACTACATAGACAAGAATTTACCAAAACGTGCAGATTGTTCCCGATCGGATTGCTATTACTTTGTGGAACGTTTCGCCGAATGGTTCACGGAATATCGTCGTTCTTGTGGCGAAATTTGTCCCATAGGAATGAATGGCAAAGCTAGAGTGGGAGCTGGCAAAAGCTGAAAAATCAGGACATGATTTCTAAGCTGCCACCACTCCCTTATTTTCAGGCCCACCTACACAAATCTTATATCAAAACGTTCAGCTATCCCTGCTGCCACTAAACATGTCAACGGCTAAGCCGTAGTCCTGATAGTTTTCACAATATAATCATTTGTTTGCAACTAACGCCGTCCATTGACTTTCATTGAAACTTCACTCTGCAAAGCTCAAGTTTGAAGTGCAATTTCTAAACTGCGACTGTGCCTTCATTTTTAATACTTCAGAGACATACTATGCATCAAAATATAGGTCTGGGTCTTGTGATTCTCACAATATAAAGCTCTTCGCTGTAAGATTTATAGTTTTTAAAATACGACCGTTTGAAGATGGCAACCGCCAAAATACTCTGACCTGTGCCAGGCTGCAGCAGCAAGTGATGTCATAGACAGGGCCTTTTGAACACCTGCTAATGTTTTTATAAATGTATGGTTTAATGTAACTGTGCAACAACGTTGCAATTAAATGTACTATATAAATGATAAGTTACTCCGCCCACTCCAGTTGTAGACTACTGGTGGAGGCAAGAACACTTCACACAATTTCCCCAGAAATTGTAGCTTTTCTAGGTCATTATTATTATCTTACCATCTTTAACTATCATTATTTCTCTTGATAACATTGGAAACATCTTATGATCCAAAGTGAACTCCTTAGAGCAGCGGTTTCCAAAGTGTGGGTTGTTACCCAGTGGGTCGCGCTGACCCACACATCCAGGGCCGCAGGGGACTCGGGCAAGCAGACTGACACCAGGAGGGAGCCCGGCGGCTTGCACTGGATGCCGCCGGGCTCCCTCCAATCAGTCTGCTCAGCACCTCCGGTCTGCAGCTCTGCACCCGGCGGAGCTCATACTGGAGAGTTAGCCCACTGGACCACCAGGGAGACACTGGACCACCAGGGAATTCAGGTAGAACACAGACCCCAGACATCCCCCTCCCCCCATGTAACCCCTTCACCTCCTGCCCCCCATGTAACCCCTTCACTCCCTGCCCTCCCCATGTCACCTCTTCACTCCCTGCCCTCCCCAATGTAACCCCTTCCTCCCTGCCCTCCCCATGCCAACCTCCTTCACTCCTGCCCTCATGTAACCTTCCTCCCTGCCCTCCCGTAACCCCTTCACTCCCTCCCCCATGTAGCAACCCCTTCACTCCCTGTTCTCCCCTCGCAAACCCCTTCCTCCCTGCCCTCCCCACACTGTCAACCTCTTCCTCCCTGCCCTCCCCCATGCCAGATTTACACCACTATGGATCCAGAGAGGCTGTTTTTATTTTTTAATGTCACACATTATATCTTAATAGTCTTTTCTTTCTAGCACAGCTTTTTTCTTGATGATAATATCAGTAGGGGCTTTATAATCACTGTATCATATGCAATTGCCTGGACATCTGAATCACAATGGAGCATAAATCAACATTAGTTGGAGCGCCGGAGTAACTTTTGAAATGCATACCACTTCTGGTCACATGGAATCTGAGGAAGTGAACCTTTGGAATGCATACCACTTCCAGGCAACACAGACAAAAATTTAAACAGCTGTGAGTCACAGAGGAGAAATTGCACTACACAACAGGTGATTGAGACAAACACGCGACCAGTCAGAAGGAAGACACCCACTGGATCACTGGTGAACTTAGGAATTAGCCCTATTTAAGAGACTCAGGGGAGGCGGTTGTTAGGCTGCTTGTTTGATGCATTTGTAAATTTTGTCATCGTTTTTATTGCATGGACCCTGAGGAAGTCCTAAATTTTAAGGACGAAACACGTAGGAACGACCATACATTTATTATTGTTTTAAATATTTTATGCTATACTGATTAAAGCTGCTTTTTTTTCAACCTACCACCTGGAGTCCTGAATCTTTCTGGTGAATGTCTGGAGGAGTGGAGAATAGACCCCACCATCATCTGGGGAGGCACCTTATACATGCCGGATTACGCTACTATCTTGTGAGTGCATTTGATAACAGCGCATATAATTCAATTTATGTGTATTCACACTACGTTTTGTATATTCCCTTATTTTTAGATTAGCAGCTGGTTCCCTTTGTTTTGCATGTATATTTTTACCTTAAATTTGAAACTCACTTTGAAATTCATCTTGAATTCTCACGTTAGTGAATAACTCTGATAGTCTATCAGTTATAATACACGACATATATATTCATCAGTACTATATTCACCATGTGATACCACTGTGTTGCTTGTATGTAGGTTTTAATTATTATCCAACAATTTGATTATTGCATCTAATTATAAAGAATCCATTGATAGTGACCGCAAAAAAGTCTGAATTGCTTAATCTGTAATACTGCTCAATCAGTGTGTAGCTTTTTATTTTTAATTTAAATTCTGTTAAACTGTTAGGTGACAGGGGCTCCTTAAACATTAAAACAATGATAATCTATAAATTAAAAATATTGCTGAAAAAGGGTATCATTTTCTTCTTAACAGGAAATCCAAATACTGCTGTAAGAAATTTCAACTGTGTGTGGTACAATATGGAGTACATCAATTGCACATGGTTACCCGGAGAAAAAGCAACTCCCAAAGTTAACTACACCTTGGTTTACTGGTTAGTACTAAATAAAGTCTTCTAAATTATTCCATGAAATTTTAGCCTTAAACCAGAAAAAAATACTCATATCTTGTACATGTTAGTCATGGACTTTAAGTATTTTGAAGGTTTGACTTCTTATCTGGGGTCCGCTGGGTATCACTACAAGCTTCCACAATAGCTTCTGTTAGCTCTCCTGTTACCTCATTGGCTCTTAGAGCATCAGCTGATCGAGTGAGATATAGTGTTTATCGTGCTTAGAATGTTCTTTTAAGAAATGTTTTGAATTTCCAACTGTAAAGTGCATTGCGTGACTGTGGATGTGACTAAAGTACAGTTGTAGCATGAAGTAGCTAATTACTGCTGTGAATAATGTGCAAAGCATGTCATAAACAAAACTAATAATTTAACTGACAATTTATTTCATCATATAAAACCAGTAGATGATAAGCAAATAGTTTAATGATTATAAATATCATGCCATTAGTGAAAATAGATTTTATAAGGTCTTCAAGAACAAAAACATTTGCACTCACCCGTTCGAAAATCCATCTATCTAAGATCAAGGAGGAAGGAAAAGGGTGGCGGAATGAAGTGCAGTAAAGCTGTGGGAAGGAGACGAGGCATATTATGCTACATTGTTATGAATCAGATGTTAAAAGATCAATTGGGTACTTAGCTCATGAGAAAACATATAAAAGCCTGTAAAATGCACTTGTGAGTATATAAAACCCATTAGAAATAATGCTTTTAAAAAATGTTTGTTTTTTACATGGGAGTTTGGTCACTATTTTCTCATCCGCACTGTCCTTAGAAGAATATCTATTAAGGGGTTAAATAGAAATATGGAACAATTTAAAGCGGCACTGTCATGCCGAACTTTCCTTTCCCCAATAGATTCCTCTTCTCTCCCTCTGTCAGGATCTGTTCTTCATTTCTTCCTGTCTGCTCTAGTTTACTTTAAAACATAAGACAAAGTAGGGACTATTTGCCTTATAGAGGTTTCCCTTAGTTACCCCCCACCCAAAACTTTTTTAATAAAGACCTACCTACCCCTCTCTCCCTAAAAAGAGTGAGGAGGGGACAAGAAAATTAAATACCTGTAAATAAAAAATAACTTACCATTTGATGTCTTCTTTTTTCTAAAATCTTCTTTTTTCAGCCCCAAAAAAGGCCAAATAAAAATCCATAATACCCATCGCAACGGTAAAAAAACAAACCCAAAAAAACTAGAGCGCAAAAAAAAAAAAAAAAACAGACGCTAAAAATGTAATCCATCTTCACCCATCAAGGGCATAACACAGACTGAGCTCTGCAGGGCGGGGAAAGGCTTATAAGCCTTCCCATGCCCTGCAATTTGATTAGAGCACTCTGATTGGTTGATTCCAAGCCAACCGATCAGAGTGCTCTGATAGGTAAATGAAGAGACTGACAGGTAAGTTTCTACATTTACCTGTCAAAGTACTCTGATTGGTTGGCTTGAAATCCAACCAATCAGAGTGCTCTGTGTCATTTTACACAGCATGGGAAAGTTCTTTGGAATTTTCCCATGCTGTGTAATTTGACTCATAACACTGTGATTGGTTGCTTTTCATATTGAAAGCATAGTCATTTAGGGCCCCCACCCGCTGCTCACAGGTGGGGGTCAGGGGGGTACAATAGGTCATGACAGTGCCGCTTTAAGTAACATTGGAACGCCTGGTTAGGTAATTCACCAAAATATGAAATATCAGGAATTCAAAAAGAATTCAAAGTGAATTTCATAGTTTAGCCCTAAATAGCTGAATTAGGAAAATCATCCAAGTCAGCAATGCTTTCACTTTGAGTAGTTTGTCCTTAATAACACTGTGTGAGAACTATAATTGTGGGCCTTCCAACAGTCCCACATTCGGCGAGACATCATCGATTTTGGTGTCCTGTCCCGTCCCGTCTTTGCTTTGTACAGTGGGAACTAGACCATGCAGGGAGCACTTCAGCAGCACTCCCTGCATAGTCCCGAAGTTTGGGGGCAAGCCAGGCAAGATGTCAGAGGGAAGGGTAAGTCTTTTTCCAGACTGGATTGCAGACCACGTAAATAGTGACGGCCACTCAACCTGACTCTGCAGCCCAGGATGTTTGGAAGTATTGAATCGTGACTCAAGCACTCACTGATGATGTACTTCTTACAGTGCTCAGACTTATAGTACTAAATGACTGGCATGCAAGTGTTAATTTAACATTTATCTCCAATTATTTTCAGGTTACAAAATGAAAGTTCTAAAGAGGAAAAAAAAGTGCCTCATTCTCGGCTGTAAGTAATAAGTAAACTATATATATTGGAAGGTGTGTCTTTTGTGAATGTATGTATATGTATGCATCTCAATAATTTATTTTGGCATTGGAGTGAAAGTGAACTTAGCCCCATGTATATTTCTTAAAACAGAGGGTTGCCAAAGGCAAAAGGTCATAGGTAAGAAATATCAGCAATCTAGTTCCTTTAGATTGTAAACTCACCGGTTATCTTGCTAAGTACTGTTCCCTCTGTGTTTATTTGCTCTATTGTACAGCACTCTAGAATATGTTGGCACTATAAAAATAATAATAATGAAACAAGATTGTGCCTCACACCTGGAATAAATACAAATAGTATCTGAAATGAAGCATATAGAATCAAGTGCATTTAAACATTATTTTTGCTATTTTTCTCTGATACAAAAATATTTATTGGACAAGTAATGCATGTGGTTGTAGATGAATCTTATTAGTACATTTCATAGATTGCTAATACTTATAAGATTCAGAAATTGTTATGGCATAAATTGAGATTACGTAATGTTTACTAATAATTCTAGAAAGAGTTTAAGCAATCTATATGACTTTTTAAGGCTGTTCATCCCCTCGAGCTGCTTACTAAGGGGTTGCCGTAAGGTGAGTGATCTGACAGAGATGACAGCCTGGTGAAGAAAAGTGCTCTATAGCTTTATCTCCACCAATTCAAGGGACCTGGCAAGGTAGTTGAGTCTTACCACAGGTTCCAAATACACATTTTTGTAGGGTTCTAAGGTTCTCCCTTTATAAGCCCAGGATATTTTAGAGTGCTGCAAAAATTATTTCCCTGCACAATATGATCAAAAGGCATGGTTTGGAAGTGCATCAAGTGAACATTAGGAAAAACAATATTGAGAACCTCCAAGCTTCCCGCACTCCCAGTAATAACGCTGGGCTCTGGGACATGACACTACGTTTGCAAGCAGCCTTTAAATATTGAATATTTGTGTCTGTAGAAATATAAAGTTGTACTCAGTCACAAACCATTGGATACCAGATAGAGGGCCCACTCCAACCCCATCGGTAAAGCAAAAATTAATAAACATGAATAGAGCTGGGAAGATCAGAGAAGACTTTTAGGTAATTAGTGAAATGAAGCATTACTGTTTTTTTTGTTTTCCATAGTTATCTGTAATGCCCACCAAACATACTAAGTACCTACCAAGTTACCTCAATGGGCACCTCCCTGACCTTAGTGCTTTTTCGAGACCCTACCACCTATTCTTGCCCCCACAGTTTGTACAGGGAAATGCAGAGAACACGGCAATTGATGGTTTTTAGAATTTTTTTTAGCTGTTTCCCATCATTCCAGGTTTAGAGAAAAATATCAGTATGTTTCATAATAACACAATTAATGACCCATTCTAATCACTTGTTCCACATGCTTTCCCACACTTCCTTTACCAATCTCCAATATCCTACCTCTTAGTGTGACGGCAGTTGTGTGTGCATTGATCTGCTTGCATGTGACAGGGGATGTGTGTGTCTGTGGGTTGCTGCATGCATGTGGTGTGAATTGTGTTGTTATAGGATGTGTGGGGCTGTCAGTGGCTGAGCTGTGTGTATACATTTGATAAGGAAGTATTTTTCTGGAGATAGGAGGCGTGGCTTCAGAGGCAGGCTTATGATGTAGCAGTCTGCAAAAAAAAGCAGAAACTATCAAGATTTCAGCATGATGAAAAATGATAGCACACTGATGAAGCCAAAAAAAAATGCGTTAACATTTTAATGGTACCCCCAGTGTTTCTCTAAGTAAATGGAATGTTCAGAATGTATACCGTATATACTCATCAATAAGTCGATCTCGTGTATAAGTCGAGTGCAGTTTTTTAACCAACAAATGTGAAAAATGCTATGACTCATGGATAAGTCGAGGGTATGTTATTCGAATGGAATTATTCGGCTTCTGTTCGGTTACCGAACAGACTCTGTGAGGTCCCCCTTTATTAACACCTAGTAATCATCGACCACCCCTGGCTGTTAACCACAAACAAGCATTCCCTGGGTGGCCACCATTCGTATATACAAATGCATGTGTTCAAACAAACTTTTTCCCGAACGCAGGCAGCGGTACATGGTCATCGACGGCATGGATATCTAAATCACAAGCCTACGATCCCCTTGCACCCCTGCCCGTTAGACTTCCTGACCAGCTAGGAGAACGGCGTTTGGGAGTCGACATTGCCCCGTATTTGACTTCCAAATGCCGTTTAACTCCCGAACGCCGTACAAAATTCTTTCCAAACTAGCATTGACCCATGGATAAGTCCACTCTGTGTTTTAAAATTAAGTTTAAGACTAAAATTTCTTGACTTATACACGAGTATATACGGTAAATATTCACGTATAGCATTTTCACAATGTGCAAAATTGTGGTATTTTTTGTATTTTAATTAGTTGGATCTTATTTGGTTTGCAGATTTATGGATTTTTTGGGCACTGCAAAACATTGCCATCAGTATAAATATAAAGAAGGAATTCCTCTAGGATGCCATTTTAAGATTTCGAATGAAAAAGAAGAGCTTCAATTGGTAGTTACAGACTTTTCCAATGAAAACATTGAACCTTTCTACTCATGGATGATACCAAGAGAAATATGTAAGTTTTACTAAGTGCTGCATAAATCATTTTAAAATTTTAATGTAGCAAAGTACATTAACATGATTCGATTTAAGGGACATTCAGCTGTGTAGATGACTCCAATCTTTTAAAGATTGAAATGAAGATATTCATTTCTGAAAACTGATTTGTAGCAACTTCACAGAGCCAGCAGCATCTGCACTGATGTTAATTTGCAAACAACTTACATAGTTACATAGTAACTTTTTGGTGAAATACTTAGAGAGTTATTCTAACAGTGTTATTCGCTAAATTTAGAATTCAGAGATAACTGAAAGTGAATTTCAAATTTACTGCACAAACAGCCGATTTTGAAAAATTCTCAAAGTCAGCTATTCCTCCAGCTTGTCTATATCAGCCCTACATTTAAAAATCACTTTACATTTATTTTTAATTCCCAACAATTCTTGTTCTAGTAAATAACCCTATTATTGTTGCTGTAGTTATTTCTGTAAATTTTTGCTTGTATAATATTTTAAGATAAGGGGTTAACCTGTATTTTTTTGTGTGTGTGTGTCAGTTTACATTTACTTTTTGTGTTTATTTTAACACATTTGTTGATCTTGCCTCAGTGTACGATTTTACATTCCAACCATTAATGTCTTAGCTTTACTGCATTGCTGATCATTTAAGATGTCAATACAATTAACCATGGAAACAATAAGTCAGAATCAGCTGCCTGTTGATAAGGGGAAAATTGTTCAGAGCTGATAAGAAATACATTTTCATGAGTCATTCAAGGAAGATCACTTATATTTACTATTAAACTACTCCAGGAATTGGGCACATCGTGGCTAAATATGATTTCCATTATTCAAAAACAGCACAAGGTATTCCTGATTTTTTGTGAACTTAGCATATCCCCCAGCAGGGTGCCAGTAGGAGGACTCCCCTCACCGATTCACCGGTTGTCCTTCCTTGTAGCACTTTGGGTAGATTCTAACCACTGCAAACCGGGAATACCCCAAAAGACTTGCAATTTTGGATATGCTCTGACCCTGTTGTCTAGCCATCACTATTTGGCCCTAGTCAAAGTCACTCAGATCTTTTTGCTTGTCCATTTTTACTGCTTTCAACATTTGAAATTCAAGAACTGACTGTTCACTTGCTCCTAATATATCCCACCCCTTGACAGGAGCCATTGTAACAATATAATCAATGTTACTCACTGCACCTTTCAGTGGTTTTAATGTTGTAGCTGATATACAAACACTTTTTATTTTTATACCTATTTAGATCTATTTAATTGCGTCATAGCTATTGTATGGTGGGCATTCCTTCCAGTGGCCATTGGAGTAACTAAATGACCTCCATTTGTTTAAATATACATAGGGATTAAGGAGAGAGTGCAGGTAACTTTTTTTTTCCCTTTGGTTTTTACTATATGTATTAGTTGATGTGTACTGTGGTCATTGCTGACGCCCAGGAGTGATGGGAGTGAGTGCAGGACTTTTCTTTTTAAATTGTATTTGTTTATTTGTGGGGAGAGGGAGTAAGATATGTCCTGATTCATGTGTGAGCTCTTCAAAACATGGATCAAGCAATAAAAAAATAATTGTTTGGGGGGAGGCAGAATGTGCCTAAGAATTATGTGGCTACGGACACCTGAGATATAAATTGTTTTTTTTTTATAACTCTATGTATTCATTGCCAGTAATTTCTTTACTGGTATTTTAAACATTAGGGCTCTTCAGGATTAGCCAATAAAATATTGCATAGTAAATGAGACCAAAAATGTGACAATGGGCTTCACCTAATCCAAATCTATGCGATAGTAAATAATTATCATAGAAAAATAAATATCTGAGACAATACACAGGCAACCATTTTTATTTATTTTTCTTCTAGTACAGCTCTCTGCACCAAATATCACCAATATATCACGAATTGTCAAGGACACCATATACGTGAGCTGGAGTGTAACGCCGTTAAAACCTAGCCAATCAAAATCTGAATTACTGCTTACAAATTTGAATAATGGGAAAGTAAACATGTATGAGGTAAGAGATTCACTGTGTGCTGAAAATGGCGATTTCACAACAATTCTGTTATTTCATATTAAGAGTCGCTTATCCAATTTGTACTGTATTGCTTAACCCTTAAGGACCAAACTTCTGGAATAAAAGGGAATCATGACATGTCACACATGCCATGTGTCTTTAAGGGTTCAAATGTACTGTGGTGTCATTATTAGGGATAACTAAGAGTTCCTGGTTTCTTCATATCTGAATTATTTTCTGAATTATTTTCTGCAAAACTATGCAGAGCAAATTTTATTCCAATTGGCTGCCACATGCAAAAAAATGTTAAGTTCATATATTTTGTGATCAAAATGCAGAGATGTGTCAGGGGGAAAACAAAGGCAAATTCTAAGTACTTTTTCAAGTGAACACCTATGTGAGGCAAAAACTACCAGTTTTTATCTGTTTCTGCTCTTTTTGCGGAAATGTTGCCGGCCCTAGTTATTAGCTAGAAATATAACATCAGATCATATGAATTATAAACATATATATATTTTTTTTTAATGCATGTACACTACAAACTGCAGTTAAAGGGACATGCCCAGCACCAAACAACTACCGCATATTGTAGTTGTTACAGAAAATAAATTTGAACCAGATGACAAGTTCTTCTATATCAGTGATGGAGAACCTTTTTGAGCCCGAGTGCCCAATCCGCAGTACATGCCAACTTTTTTTTCCTCAAAGTGCCAACACGGTAATTAAACCTGAATACTGAGGTTTAAGTTTAGAAAAAACAACTCGTACAGTTGTCCGAACTAATTAACAACTTTGTCTTAAAAGAAGAACACAACAGAGAGTTCAATGATACAAATTTTAAATAATGATATAAATAGATAAAATTAAGCTTATATTTATTAGTATCTCCAACAAATGCAATACATACACACAGACTGCTGGACACATTCACACACCGACCGCTAAATGCATACACACACCGGCCGCTAAATACACACACACACCGGCCGCTATATACACATACAGACAGCCTGCTGAGTACACACAGACTGCTGAATACATACACTGCTGAGTACACACAGACTGCTGAATACATACACTGCTGAATACACACACAGTCTGCTGAATACACAGACTGCTGAGTACACATACACGCAGACTGCTGAGTATACACACACACACAGTCTGCTGAATGCACACACATACAGTCTTCTGAATGCACACACATACAGTCTGCTGAATGCACGCACACACACAGTCTGCTGAATGCACGCACACACACAACTTTGTTTTAAAAGAACACAACAGAGAGTTCAATTATACAAATTTTAAATAATGATATCAATAGATAAAATTAAGCTTATATTTATTAGTATCTCCAACAAATGCAATACATACACACAGACTGCTGAACACATACACACACTGACCGCTAAATACATACACACACCGGCCACTAAATACACATACAGACAGCCTGCCGAGTACACACAGACTGCTGAATACATACACTGCTGAATACACAGACTGCTGAGTACACATACACACAGACTGCTGAGTACACACACACAGTCTGCTGAGTACACACACACACACAGTCTGCTGAGTACACACACACACACACACACTGCTGAATGCACACAAACAGACTGATGAATGCACACACACACACAGATTGCTGAATGCACACACACACATAGACTGCTGAATGCACACACACAGACTGCTGAATACACACACATACAGACTGCTGAATACACACACACACTGCATTGAGGGGTGCAGTGCATGTATTTGTATGCACACACACACAGACTGCTGAATGCACACATACACACACACAGACTGCTGAATACACACACATACAGACTGCTGAATACACACACACATACTGCATTGAGGGGTGCAGTGTATGTGTTTGTGTGTAAGGATGTGGAGTGCTGTGTGTGAGTGTCTGAGGGGTGCTGTGTGTGTGTGTGTCTGAGGGGTGCTGTGTGTGTCTGAGGGGTGCTGTGTGTGTGTGTGTGTGTGTGTGTGTGTCTGAGGGGTGCTGTGTGTGTGTCTGTCTGAGTGGTGCTCTGTGTGTGTGTCTGTCTGAGGGGTGCTGAGGGGGGAAGGGGTGCAGTGTGTGGGGGTGCTGTGTGTGTGGGTAGGGGTGCTGTGTGTGGGGGGGGAGGGGTGCTGTGGTGTGGGGGGGAGGGGTGCTGTGGAGGATAGGGGTAAATATACATAAAAATATATAAAGCAATATAATAGAATTGTAGTGAGACACACAATAATAAAAAGTCCTCAAAAACACCTTAGTGAGAGTCCATTTCACCTCACAAATAAACACAAATACATACAATATAAGGTGGAGTATCTTCTTATTATAATAAATTTCCCGTATCTCTAGAAGACAGAACAAAATAAAGCATATGATAGTGCAGTATTGTCTGTTATATAAAGAGGTTATAGTAGAATAGGAGAAGTATCACTCACAAGTGTAGAGCCTCAAAGTATGGCTCAATTTTCCAGTATTGTGGGATATAAGGTTCCCACTGCCTTCTTTGTATGGCTGGTGATCAAATATTCCTCTCGGGAACAAGTAATGATTTCCAAAGTGCTTTATTATAAAGTGCACTAAAATATAACAAATTAAAAAAACATAAATAAAAATATTAAATAACAAGACCTTACAAGTTGAAGGTGAATGATATGAAGAGTCTTTGATTCAAAGAGTCTTCATAGGTTCGCCATCACTGTTCTATATCTTTCTTTTATTCAATTCACTCAGTGCAATGAATGAGTAATGCCAAGGGTTAATGGATACAGGCAAATCAATGCAATTCCCAAACTAGCAATCTCTGGCTTACTTTTATATCCTTTAAACCAGGGGTGTCTAAAAGGTAGCTCCCCAGATGTTTTAAAACTACAGCTTCCATGATGCCTTGCCATTCTAAAGCATTCTAAAGGCATGCAAAGCATAATGGGAGTTGTAGTTCTACAACATCTGGGGATCTACCTTTGGACAGTCCTGCTTTAAACAATTACACAGAAATGTCACAAGATTGCCACGATTACATTTTGGATGTCAAGCATGCGACTTTAGTGTATGACTTCAGCATTATGTTACACTTCTTCAGCTGTTTCAAGATATACCAAATACTATATAAAATGGTAGCAAGTAATACTAAATGATTTATAATCTATCTATATCATTAGTGATGAATGTAAAAAGGGACTACTGGTTTGATTTTCAGTTAATTGTCAACTTGCTTTAAAGCAGTTTGTCAAAAACAGAAGACATTGTTTAAGGACCGGGTTAGCGTTAAGAAAATGCTCCTTCTGTAATGGTACAAGTGAGACAAGAATTGTGTGGGACAAAGATATTCATTATCCAAATAATATATCTTTTTTTGTGTGTTTATTTAAAAAGGAAACTAGGAATAACAGCAAAGAAATTTTACTTGGTGATCCTGATGCAACATATACAATAAAAATACGATCAAAAAAACATGACATGTATGGCGATTTTCCCTGGAGTGAGTGGAGCGAGGAAAAAACTATTTCAGGTAAGACCAAAAACCATAGCTTTACTGAATAAAAAAAAATAGATATAACATATGCACATCACACTTCAATGCATTGCAACCATACCATTTTAAAGGAGCACTCCAAGCACCATAACCACCTCAGCCCACTTTGACAACTTACCCGAGGTCCTCCATTTGCCAGCTGCCACCTCCTCTGCAGCCAGAAACCCCGGCAAGGAGCACCCTTTAACATAGCTGAGCTAGTGCAGGAGCTCGCTCATTGGTTGAGAGTCTCAGCAGAGCAAGGCCCTGCACCACCATACATAGCTCAATGTAGGGGGCAGGGGGTGAATACCTAAATTAAATTGACTACTTACTCTAGGAGGTGGGCAGGGTGCTCCTGGTACAATAACCACTACAGCGTCAGTAATGGTTACATTGCTTGGAGTGTTCACTTAAAGAACATAACCCTTGTTTCAATAAGTGTTATACGGATATGGTAAATGGCAAGTTTTCGTATCACATTTGAAGTAAGGTAACTGTTTACTTGTTAGAAATATAGAGAGTTTAATTTTAACATTTTGCTGGTTTGTTTTTTGTAGCAGAATACAAATTCAGGACAATGAATATCATCCTAGCTGTCTTAATCCCTATCTCTGTGAGCATCTTAACAGTCATCTCTGTCGTTTGTATTAAAAGGTAAATAATTACTTTATGGGGACATTCTTATGCAAGCTAATGAATTGTTTTATCGGGAAATACAGGCACAGGTTTGAAAAATATAGCAGTTTTTTTTTTTTAATAAAAAAAGGTTTTATTATGAAGAACATTGGTATTTAAAACCAGATCTTAGTTACAGGTGGTCCTCACTTTGCAACGGCTCGCACTTACGACCAGCTCTCTAGCGGGGGGATTCAAGGGATTCCCCACATTAGAAAGCTGGTCTATGTTCGGGGAATTTTCCCAGAATATAGATTAGAAGGATTCCCTGCTCTGGTGCTTAATGTCTACGTTTGGGGAACATTTCCTGAAAATAGATTTGAGGGATTCTCCGCTCTGCTGCCCTTGTCTATGTTCGGGGAAATTTCCCCAAACATAGATTAGAGGGATTCCCTGCTCTGGTGCGTTTGTCTGTATTCGGGGAAATTTCCCCAAACATACACCTGCACTGGTGCGCATGCGCGTCACTTACCGACCAATTCGTTTTACGACTGGGTCGTAAGAACGGAACCCGGTTGGTAAGTGAGGAGCATCAGTATAGGAATCCACTGTTGATAATGTTTGATAATGTGCTTAAAGGGATATTGCAACATTATAACTTTAATGCGTTTGATAGGTTTTGGCCTTTTTAATATGCTATGTATTTAACCTGCTCAAATCCTTGATTTTTTTGCACAAAATATCAATGTTTTACAAAATGATGTACTCAGGGCCGGTGCAAGGATTTTTGCCGCCCTAGGCAAAAGTAATGTTTGCCTCCCCCCACATGTGACATCACAATGCCCCACCCATATGATCTGCCATATGATTTCCCCACCCTCCCCTACCTCTGTTGTAGCGTGACCGAGCTCTGTATGGTCCGCAAGTACAGGGAGCTTTTGTTTCCTGTACCCGGCCGGACTAAAAGGAAGTGCACACTCAGTGTTAGTCCGGCCGGGTACAGGAGACAGATGCTCCCTGTACCCGCGGACCATACAGGGCTCGGCCACGCTACAGTGAGGGAGTGACAGGAGGGAGCGCTGAGCGCTGTCAGCCCCTCTGCTCATGCTGTGCCCAGGCGGTGCGGTGCGCCCTCATGGACGCACCAGCCCGGGCAAAGCTGCAGCTGCCTGAGGCTCTCTACAGAGCGCTCGGGCTGCTGCAGCATGAGGGGGGCCGGCGCTCCTGGCGGCACCCCTTCCCAAGGGGCGCCCTAGGCGGCTGCCTAGTCCGCCTAACAGGTAGCGCCGGCCCTGGATGTACTGTACGCCTGCCTCCTTAACCACTTTCCCTCGATCCAGAACAATAATGTATTAAGTAAAATGGCTGTTATGTTCAGTCCACAATTTATCCAACACAGCCATTAAAAAATAATTTGAATAAATCGGTGATGTGAAACAAATATTATTTGTTCAGTTACACTAATATTACAGAAAACATTGATTTTTTTTTTTACAATGTCAGGGTTATTTACTAAAGTGAGAATTGTCAGAAATTGGAAGTTACATAGTTACAAAGTTACATAGCTGAAAAGAGACTTGCGTCCATCAAGTTCAGCCTTCCTCACATGTTTTTTTGCTGTTGATACAAAAGAAGGCAAAAAAACCCAGAAGTGAATTTAATATTTAAGATAAAAACAGTTTCCCAGTCAGCTATGCTTCTAGTTTGGCTATTTTTGTCTAAAATTTGAATTCCGGACAAGCCTCACTTTAGAAAATAACTGTGTAAATATTATGTAGAACTGAGATGTTAATTTATATTAGACTGAGAACCCAACCCATCCACTATGGGTGCCCTTTTGTAGGTGACTACATGAAAGCCTAAATTGAGGAGTCTCTTGAAGCAGTTTATACTGTAACAAAGTATTGCAAGTTAGCATGTAAATCTCCCATGTTAAAATTAGTGTAGGATCCACCGATATGGGTACTGTGACATATGGCCATATGGTACTAGTATGAAACCGAATCTTCATATTTATTTGCTAAGATAGGTGATTTTAAGTAGCATTGTTAAATGTAAAACTGTATTTTTGTTTGTTTGTGTGTGTACGCTGTTCCTTTAACTATAAAATAAATTGTGGGGTAAGGTCTAGATTATTTATTGACTATTTTATCATTTGGTGTTCCCAATTTCCTTTCCCTATTTCTAATCCTTCAACATAGCCAAGTTAGAAAGTATTCTTTTTTTAGCGTAAATCTTGTAGCTACTGATAGCAATTTAATGGCTACTCACTTTTTAGTGAATAAACCTCACAAAACATGTATAAGCTGTATAATATTTCATACTGTGATAGAAATGTTATATAAAAGTAAAATGTTATTATTATACATGTTATACATTTTGACGTTTTACTTTTTTAATTATTCCATAGATGCATTCTTTGTATTCTTCCTCCCATACCTGACCCTGGAAAACCTTTTGGAGACCCAGATAATTTGCAGGTAAACAATATTCTTATAGACATTTTGCATCCACATTAACAATTTGTAATGGAAAGAATATAACCTTAGTAAATCAGCCTATAGATTACTCAGAGTACCAGGTAGCCAGCGGCTCAAGGTTACAGAAAGATTAAAATAGAGTAGGTGCAGATATGGATATTTATAAAGTCTTTTGATCCATTTGAAAAGAAATGTTGCTTAACTCTGTCTGATGCAAAAACATCTTTGGACTTACATGCAGTTCTTCAAATTTGCTGAAATCTGAAACAGTGATCCAGGTTTTTGGGTAAAAGAGCTGCATTCACTAAACTATAAAAGTAAATGGAAATTATATTTATATTTCAAGTAAAATTTGCTAAATTAGAAAATATCCACAATCAGCTATTTAAAATTTTAAATACACATTGAATTCACCTCGAATTTCCCAAAATTCACACAGTAAAATAATAATAATTCATAATAGTAATAACTGTGAAAATGTGTAAAAGCTAAGTATCCATGTGTTACTGCTGTTATGATGAAGAAGGGGGAATTGTAAAATGGCGGTGGTAAAGTGAAATTGAAAAGGGTACAGGATCTGGACATGCAGAGGAGCAGGGAATGTTTAGGCCGTATAGTGTCTATTTAGGACAACTTTGCACCCTGCTGTCAGCAATTATACAAAGGAGAGGAGACATTGTTTTTTGTTTTTTTTTAATACAATAATCCTTTCATCAAGTGTTGGAAGAAAATAGGTTTGTTTTGTTTTGTTTTTTGGTTTTTTTTTATGGAGTAAATGTAAAACAAATTGGAAAACTTGTCCCTATCTTTAATATATGACAGGATCCTTCAGCCATATACAGTGAGGGAAAAAAGTATTTGGGGGTGTTTTTCTGCTAAGGGGACAGGACAACTGTACCACATCAAAGGGACAATGGAAGGGGCCATGTACCGTCAAATCTTTGGTGAGAACCTCCTTCCCTCAGCCAGGGCATTGAAAATAAGTCATGGATAGGTATTCCAGCATGACAATGACCCAAAACACACAACCAAGGCAACAAAGGAGTGGCTCAAGAAGAAGCACATTAAGGTCCTAGAGTGGCCTAGCCAGTCTCCAGATCTTAATCCCATAGAAAATCTGTGAAGGGAGCTGAAGGTTCGAGTTGCCAAAAGTCAGCCTCGAACCTTTAATGCCTTGGTGAGGATCTGCAAAGAGGAGTGTGACAAAATCTCTCCTGAGATGTGCAAACCTGGTGGCCAACTACAAGAAACGTCTGACCTCCGATTGCCAACAAGGGTTTTGCCACCAAGAACTAAGTCGAAGGGGTCAAATACTTATTTAGCCCATTTACATGCAAATCAGTTTATAACTTTTTTGACATGTGTTTTTATGGATTATTTGTTTTTGTTATTCTGTCTCTCACTGTTAAAATATACCTACCATTAAAATTATAGACTAATCATTTCTTTGTCAGTGGGCAAACATTCAAAATCAGCAGGGGATCAAATACTTTTTCCCCTCACTGTACATACACCTTGAGTCAGACAGTGTTTGAATTTGACAGTTTCTAGGCCTGATGGTATCACTGCACTGTGCAGGAAGTGAAGCAGGGAAGAGCATAGAGACTATAGGTGTCCAAATACTGACTGGCCCAATGTGAATGTAAATGACTCTCTTCCTCACTTGCTAATTGTGCTCTGGTTGTGCCTGGACTGAACTAGATTTTGATGTAATTTGCTAAACCTTTAATATAAACATAAAGAAAACAGAGCAATACTTGCACATGTATTCCTTACACTATGGGGCTGGTGTGGCTGTTTATGTCTTTGTCCCCCTCACTCCCCCCGTCTGTGCAGTGAAAAGTTGGTTTTACTCACCTTTTCTCCCACAACATGCACAACTCACCGCGGCTGTCCCAGGCTGGATTTTCACTAATGGCTGGCAGAATCACTTTCCCATAGGAAAGCATTGGGAGCCTATTGCGCATGTGCAGCAAAATACTGCACAGCACCAATCAGTATCTTCTCATAGAGATGCACTGAATCAACACATCTCTTTGGGGAGCGTGTAGAGACCCTGAATGCCAGGAAGCACCTCTAGTGGCTGTCTGAGTGACTGTCACTAGAGGTGCTACAAGGCCCCAATGTAAACCATGCCTTTTCTCTAAAAAGGCAGTGTTTACATTGAAAAGCCTGCAGCCTGCAAGGCTTAGTACACCAGAAGAAGTACATTAAGCTGTAGTGGTTCTGGTGACTATAGTGTCCCTTCAAGTTAGCGCTGATTTTTAATATAATATTCAGTGATGTCATTTCTAGAGAAGAAATGTCCTCTGTTCTCACCTGTGACACTTTATATTTAGGGTTTTCCTTGACCCTGCATTGCTTCTGTATCTATTGACATTATTTACGTGCAATTTCTCGCTTTCTGTCAGAATATATTTCACCATGTGCTTACTGTATTGCACTGCTCTTTTCCTTGAGGGACTATTGCTTCTCAAAACACTAAAAGTAAGATTTGTTTGCCTTATATTCTGTAGTGCGCTGGTCTGTATGCAGCCACACAGCCCCATCAGCCTTGATGATCTGTCAATCCAGTGCTTCCCCATAGGAAAGCATTGGGAGGCTAGCGTGCATGCATGCTGCACTGCGTCAATCAAATGCTGTCTGTGAGAAGCAGTGATTGAATAAAAAAGCTTAGCTCAAGTATTGCAGAGGAAGTGTCTTTAGTGGCTAAAAGGATGAAAACCACTTGATGTGCTTAACCCTCCAATTGAAACATTTCTACAAAATGGCAATATTTTATATTGGAATATTAAAACAGGAGCGTTACACCCAGACCACCTCAGTGGTCTGTGTGCCTTCAGTGTCCCTTTACAGTGCTTTAAAAATTCTCATCACATAGGATTAGGAATAATACAAAGCTATTATGTAGTGCTAGATCAGTGGTTTTGGAATCTTGCTTTGGCCTCCAGCATTTTATGGACAACATCTCATATAATTCTATGTCAGTAATAGGATGTTTTTGGACTGGCACAGAATTATAATAAAAAGCAGTCCAAAGCAGCATGTTTGGGCACTATTGCTCCAGATCAGAAGTAGGCAACCTTCGTCACTTTAGATGCAGTGGACTACATCTCCCACACAATCCTCTTACAGTCATAATGCTGGCAGAGCTTTAGAGGAGATGTAGTCCACCACGGCTTGAATGCCAAAGGTTGCCTAATCCTGCTCTAAATCAGCTTGTGTCTGAGGGAAACAGACTACAGTAGCCATACATATAGAATTATACAGTGTGATACTTATTATTAACGCAATACAAATTGACCTTATTGCTGTATATATAAAAATATAATCATGAACATTTCTTCATAATGACCAGAATGTAATAACATAGCTAGAAAGCAAACACATAAACAAAAAAAAGAGAAAAATAAAACTAGTGCAACATTTGCAAATCCGGAAAAGGCTTATGAAAGAAGAAGAGACTTTGGGATTTCTTGAAAATTTTTTATTGTTACCAGTGAACTCTAATCAAAAGGACCTTGATGACATTATGTCACACTTGAACTTTCTATTTTACTTGGGACCTATAAATAAAATTAAGCAAATTCTCCTTTTGACTTCATAGAGGAAGAACTATAAATAGTGCTCTACAGTTAATAGACCAGCTAGAAAACCAGTCTGTAAACATGCATGATAGTCCTGATATTTAACCCCTTAAGGACCAAACAGCTGGAATAAAAGGGAATCATGACATGTCACACATGTCATGTGTCCTTAAGGGGTTAAACTGCCGTATTAGTCCAGTAATGTAGATTTGAACTAATGAAGTATTGCACTTTCTTGTGGTACTTTTTTTATTGGACTTTCAAAAATTTGTAAATTATGAGTGATTTTGAGAGATTCTCCCTTTACTAAGTCTAAATCATGCATGGTCAGGGCCGGCGCTACCATTAAGGCGAATTAGGCATTTGCCTGGGGCGCCGACCTGAAGGGGGCGCCCACCTGGAGGTTTCTGGGTGGGCTGCTCCTGTGGGTGGGCAGCGGGCTTCTCTTGCCTGGGGTCGGCGCGCTGGGTAAGTGGCTGTTTAGCCAAACCCCAGCGCAGCCATATCCTGTGCTCCCTCTGCCTCCCTGATGCTGCAGAGCCGATCATCTGCTCAGGGAGAGGGGGTCTGTTGAATCCCCAGCACCCGAGCAGAGCACTGTGCTTCCTGCAGGCAGGGGAAGCTGGGATGTGACCTGGTATCCCGGCTGCCCCCTGCCTGTGATAAAAGGAAGCACAGTGAAGGGAGCAGGAAGCAGCCTGTGCTCACTGTGCACTGCTCTCCTGCCCCCCCAGGAACCAGGGCAGATACCTGCAGGCTGAAAGATGGTCCCCTTCTCCTCCAGTCACATCACTAGCACAGGTATGGCATCACTGGAGGATAAGGGGAGCTGGTTATTATTGTGGGTATGTTTGAACATTGGTGTGTTAAGTTTGTTTGTGGGTGTGTGTTTTAATAAACTGACTATATGTAAACTGGTGTGAGTGACGTGTGTGTGTGTGTGTCAGTGAGTGTGTGACCAGTTATATTTCTAATACATTAATATAATTATATATATTATATTTAAAAAAAACATTTTACTTACAGTGTGCCTTTCATACAAGTTCCCTGTCGCACACATTAAATACCACCATTATCATAAACTAAATGCACAATAGTATAAGTTAAATCCCACCAAATGAATTGAATAAATTCAAATGTAAAATGTATATGTATTAGGCAGTATGTGCACATGGATGTGTGTGTTGGGCAGTATGTGCGTATGGATGTATGTGTTGGGCAGTATGTGCGCATGGATATATGTGTTGGGCAGTATGTACGTATGGATGTATGTGTTGGGCAGTATTTGCATATGGATGAATGTATTAGGCAGTGTGTGTATAATGGCCAGTGAGTGTGTATGGTTGAATGTATATATTAGGCAGCGTGCGTGTATGGTTGTATGTATTGGCAGTCTGTGTGTGTATGGATGGATGTATTGGCAGGGTGTGTGTGTATGGATGTATGTATGTATTGGCAGTGTGTGTGTATGGATGTATGTATGTATTGGCAGTCTGTGTGTGTGTGTATGGATGGATGTATTGGCAGGGTGTGTGTATGGATGTATGTATGTATGTATGTATGGGCAGTGTGTGTGTGTTCATAATGGACAGTTTCTTTTTTTCCCCCCTAAATGTCTGCTCACTGTGTCTCTCCTAAAATGTCTCCTAGTCTGTATCAGTTTCCTAAAAACCTTAACAATCTCTCTATCCCTTTCCTAATTGCCTTCCCGGACTGTGTTCCCTTCCCTAAATTGAGCACTGGTCTCTCTGCTTTCCCTTAGACACTTAGGTGTCTATTCACTAAACAGTGATTTGAAAAAGTTGAGATGACTTTATACAACTCTTCTGTTTTGGCCTAAATGTTTCAATTTATATTTCAACTCACTGCTTAATGAATAGACAGGGAAAAGAAAAGAATAGAAATTGACAGAAGATAATTACCGGATTATTCACTAAAGTGAGAATTGTAAGTGTAAGGGCAGAGTAGCCGAATCTGGAGAATGTTAACGGGTGTTTTGACCATAAATTAGAAATTCACTTTGAATTCCCAACAATTCTCACTTTATTGAATAACCCTATTGGAATAAAGAGAAACAGGCTGGAGAGAATCAGTGAGCAGATAAATCGTGAACATAGAGACTGCAAGCTTTTGGAAACAGAAACAAAGGAGAAAGCTGTGGATAAACGCTAATGAGAGAGTTTGGGCACTATGGAGGAAAGGGACAGCTGATCAGACCTAATTAAAAACCAAATGGCAAAATTTATACCATTTAGAAGAATTCGCCAACTCCGCTACAGTCACAGTTCAGCTGTTTTTGCTTAAACTATGCAATTCGATTTCCAATTCACTGAATTCATAGTTTAGTGAATAAACTTCTGAGAGAGTGTAGTTGCATTCAAGAGGGGGCGGCAAAATGGATCTTTGCCTAGGGTGGCAAGAATCCTTGCACCGGCCCTGTGCATGGTGTCATAATGAGAAGCAATATTACGTAATCCAAACATCTAGACAAACAAAAGGGTGTGTGCATGCTATTAATCCAATGATAGACACATAACACATGAATTGTATCTAATCACAAAAGGCTGATGGGTACACAAAGCATGCACACAGTCCATTACCAAAAAGTGTGCCCACCTAGTGTGGATGCAATGTGTGTGTGTGTGTGTAGGGGACATAATGTGTGTTCAGGGTATGTAGTAGTTTTTGCTGGTTATGCAGTGTGTAGGAGTATGTAGTGTGTATAAGGAATAGGCGCAGGCATAGTCAACCTTTGGCACTCCAGATGTTTTGGACTACACCTTCCATGATGCTTTGCAGGCATTATGAGGGATGTAGGCCACAACATATGGAGTGCCGAAGGTTGCCTATCCCTGGAATAGGGTTTGATAAGGGATGCAGTCTATGTAGGTCATGTATTGTGTTTGTGCTTGTGTGTGTGTGTGTGTGTGTGTTGGGGAGGCAGCGTGTGTCTGTGCATGTGAGGTTAAAAGGGCAGCTAAGAAATTCTGAGACTTGTCAGAACATGTTGTAAAACACTGTTACCATATGCCCTGTGCAATTTCATGGGTATTCACTGAAGTGAGAATTATCAGAGATTTAAAGTGAATTTTAAATTCAGTTAAACTGAAAAATCTCCCAGATAGCTATTTTAGTGAATAACCCTTCTGATCATGCTACAACGACACATGAGATTTCAAAGTTAATATTTTGAAAGTATAATAAAGTAGTCTGGAATGTTGACAGTCACAGATAACTTTTCTGATAGGAATATAATGTTTCTTTAGATTCGGTAATTATACCTTTGTTCACATACACATTCCAGGCCTTGTTTACAAGGCTTGTGAAAAACAATATTTAGCATTTTTGTGGTTGTCTCTCATAATTGTATATAATAGAACAAAAACACGTAGACACACATTTACATTTTTTAGTAGATTGCAGATCACACGCTTATCTTCATAAACCAACACAGCAGCAAGCAAATATCTTTGCATCACTTTCCTGACTGCTGTGGGTGTGTTTTAACCACTTCCCATCAGAAAGAAGAGTTGGTACACACATCCTTGTTTACCTAAATGGGTGAACATTGTAGGAAAAAGAACTGCCATGCAGGTGAAAGGTCATTGTTTAAATACAGCAGTTATTTAAGAAAAACAAAACATTATTTTGATATTAACAATGAAAACACATTAATACATTATTTTAAAGGAACACTACAAGTACCAGAACCACTACAGCTTAACGCAATGGTTCTGGTGCAAAGAGACAATCGCTCTTAACAGTCTCAACAATGCAAACACTGCTCTTTCTAAGAAAAGGCAGCATTTACAGCGCATCCTAACGCCACCTTGCAGGTGCAGTCATGTAGTAAGTACAGGACTGACGTTCACCTCTTCACCTTTCTCCATGGAGACGCTGAATGCTCCCTATAGAGATGCACTGAGACAATGCCTCTCTATGTGAAGATGCTGATTGGTATAGCACAGAAATTGCCACGCATGTGCACTATCCCCCTCAATACTTCTCTTTGGGGAAACTTTCAATTGGTTGAGATTGGCTGAGATTAGCCTTAATGATAATCTTTGCCAGGGGAGGAGCAGCAGGGGGAGTAAAGGTAAATCACTCTATTTAACTTGTTAATTGGGGTAGGGAGCTTCTAACTTGTTAGTCAAATACCATAACTTTGGGAATATATGTTTGTTTAAACAGAAGTGCAGGTATTTTACATAAACATTAACAACTAGTTTAAGCATTCCCAGGAATTTGAGATAAATTATCATGTTGTTTCATTTCCAATCAATTTAATAGAGTTCAGCAATACAGCGTGTCTGCTGTCCAGTACATTTATTGTTTTTTGTGTATATACATATATTATATATTTTGTATATTTTTTTATCTTTTCTTTGTAAATATTTTAATAGTACAGCAAATAATACATGTTTAGTACAAAATGAGCGATTAAAAAAACCAAAAACAAAAAAACTTTGCACACTTCCAAAAAAAACAAACTAAAAAAAAAAACATAAAAAACAAAAAGATTTACTTTAACATGACAGGAAAGGTGAGGTGGAACATTGAATATAGAAGTAGTGGGAAAAAAGTCTGATTCGTGCACTTGTATTGTTCAGGGAATATGGACACTGGGAGGTACTAGCACTCTGAGTAGGGCTTACATGAAGAATGTTAATCAGACTCTGCATACGTGCTTATCATCTGTTCACTAGGGTTTGGCATAAACTATTTTTAAGTTGCAAGACTGGTTCGATCGCTGCATGATCTATTGAATATATATAATTATGTGAATTTTTTTAAGTTAAATACTTGTTTACTTTTCTGTGGGCTTAAGATTTTTCAAAGCTAGCTCATGTTTCTTGTAAACTTTGCACTAAAACCTTTGAAAGTGACCTAAGGAGTAGATTAATCAAGCAAAGCAGGAGCTATTTTGTGGGCAAAGTGCTAAAAGCTGAGACACATGTTATTGGCTTCCTTGTAGGTTTTTTTTTTGCCTTTACACATATTTGTATTTTTGAAATCTGAGTTGTTTCAAAATGGATACAGAAATCAAGAGAGAGGTATTTAAACAAGGATTTGGGCAGAGAAGGGCATCTAAAAAATATGGTCCCGATGTAGGCTAACGCATATCCCATACCTCGTGCTGCTAATGCTCTTCTTTATTATTTGGGATTTTGGAGTAGAGATAATGAGAGGACATCATAGAATCACTGATGGACAAGTTGAGGAGAAGACCTGCACGTGTAACTATTGCTCCCAGATCTTTCTTATTTTCTTGTGCTAAATTAATTGGTACCATCATTCTATTTTGTAGCATACATCAGTAACACATTGTTAATTTGCTATCATTAATAGAGTGGTAGCAGCGATGGAGAAGCTTCTCACTCCGGCACAGATCTCCTTTCCCATTATTAAAACACAATTTACTTACCAACCGATATCCAAAGAGCACATGGAAATCTGGAGCTTGTCCCATCAATTAGGGAGAATAGGATACTTCCCTTATCTTTATTTTAAAAAATTAATTAAGCTGTAGTTGTTCTGGTGACTATAGTGTCCCTTTAAATAATTATTCCTCACACTTATAAATCACAATGTCTGATGATTCTTCATATAATTCACCACGCAAATGTCTGTTAAAAAATGTCAAAAAATATATATATTTTATGACACAAAGAATTTGTGTAGTTTTTTTATCAATCTGAATGTGTTTTCTCCTTATTCCCTATAGCAATTGCTAAGATTCAAGTATGCAAATGTCTGGAACACACCACCGAATGATGAGATCTGTTCTGTTATCTTGGTTGAGTCTCCAACATGTTCCACATGCTCCTCCTCCTTAGAGTGAAGTTTTCAGTAACAAAGAAAAGCAAAGACAATTTTATAATACTTTCTCCTGAGGTATACTGTGCAACAGTGAAACTTTGACCTCAAGTTCTAAAGCTCTATGGTCGATCCTTACTGTGGTATTTTGGAAAAGAAAACGACCAATAATGTGTGATTGTAGAAGAAGGGAACCTTTCCTTTTCGAAGACACACAAACTCCTTAGAGACCCTGTGTGCTCAAGGCTTGGCTGGAAGATGGGATATGCTTTGACTAGCTGTGTTTCTAGATGTACATATTGACAGAGAAGAACAGGAAAAAAGACTAGAAACCATCATCCACTGTGTATATAGAAGACTTTTAATGTCTTGTCCTAACTGACTGAGTAGAATGAGATACATTATTGTGGATGCTGCTATGGATTACCCAGTAAAGTCCTATTCTGTAGAGTGGCTTGTCGTCTAGAAATAGAAATATGGCCTAAAACTGAAGTCATTCAAGTATTTAGGAATAGAAGACTACAAGTATCATGTTCCTCAGATTGAGTCTCATTTTAGATTTTGAATTCTGATTGGTGGTTTAACACGGACAACAAGCAATTTAAATACCACTGAAGCTGACTTCCTTACAGAGAGAAAGTATGTCCTTACACCATCAGACAGAAAAGCATTTGTGATTGTGTAACAATATTATTTGCTTCACTTTACTGTCTGACCTTGATGACATTGATAAAATGTATCCTGAGGATACTGGGAGACCTCCTAAATCATTACACATTGACTTAAAATGTATGTAGGTTAGGTTTACCTACCAAGACTTGTGTGCAAGACACATCTACGAAAATCTGTTTGTCACCTCTTTTCCTTCAGTGAATGTCTACCAGGTATTTCTCCTAAGATCAACCTCTTTTTGATCTTAAATCAACCTCTTTTTGATTAAATAGCACATTGTAATGCCTGTGTGTAACTGTTTATAGATACATCTACATCTGGTTGTTATGTTTGGTTGTATTCACTGTACACTTTTTCTTAGGTTTTATCTTGTAAGGGGCTTGATAATGCTCTAGAGCAGTGGTTCCCAAAAGCAGTCCTCGTGGCCCACCAACAATCCAGGATTTATGCATTTCTCTGTTTTATTCCAATAGAGATACTGACAAAACATGGACTGTTGGTGGGTGTTGAGGACTGGTTTGGGAAACACTGTTCTAAAGAATGCTAGTGACCCATCAGGATTGGTGGTCAGTGGTGCATCTGTTCATGACTTATATTTAACCCCTTAAGCACACGTGGCATGTGTGACATGTCATGATTCTTTTTTAGTCCAGAAGTTTGGTCCTTAAGGGGTTAAAGGAACACTCCAAATATCATAACCACTACAGAGCACAATAGTGGATATGGTGCCAGAAGTGCCCTGGCACCCCCATTGTAAGTAGTCAAATGGCTAGTCTATTTTTTTAGCAAAAGCTGCTGCTTTATTGTCCAAACATGGGAACCCTGCATGCATTTAAACCTTTTTCATATATACATTTATAAACACACTTGTATGATGTTTACTAAATTTTAGTATTTTTTACAGAACATTTTTCTGAAATATCCTTCCGTCTGCATTAATACATTACATAATTTGGAGAGGTGATAAAGCAGTGTGCAGTTTGCTAATCGCATATTGCAACTCTGTGAAATCTTTAAGATTTACCAAACAACGTATAACATTGTCTGCGCAAAGATTTGTCTTGTCTCCAAATTGTGTTAAAGATTAGTGCGCGGAAATATACGAAACAGAAATATATTTCAGAAAAATGTACTGTAAAGAAATGCTTAAATAAAGTAAACATCCTGCAAGTGTGTTTATAACTGTATGTATGAAAAAAGGTTTGCATGCATACATTGTTTCCATGTTTGGACCAAAAAAACCAGCTTTTTCTAAAAAAATAAAAAATAGGCAAGCCATAATGTTTATGTTTCAGTTGTTTGAAAACGAAACTGAATAAACACATTGGTTTTGTTTAAATATAAAAACAGTATATCATGATGCAGTAGATATGAGTGGAATGTACCATGTACATGTTAGAAACCTTATGCATGGTGTGATATTTTGTCGATGCAAGATATATCATTATAGAAATTACTTCCCAAGCTAGGCCTTCATTAACCGATATCCTGCCAAAAGCTATTTTAATGCAGTGGTTGATCATTTAACATACCTGGGGAGCCTGGTGTGATGTAGAATCTTAGAGTTTCCCCTCCAATCTCAGGGTGCACAGACAGATTCTGACTGGGTTATTCACTAAAGTGAGATTTCAAAGTGAATTTCAAATTTAAGGTCAAAATAGCAGAATCAGAAAAATTATGTTGTTTACCTGTGTTCTCGATTAGCTACTTTGGCCTTAAATTTTAAATTCACTTTGTATTCTTACTTTAGTTAATAACCCTGTATGGGTTACACAGTCCTGAGCAGGTGCTTTGCTATATTGTAGATTTTGTAAGATAATAAATGTGTTATTGCATCAGTACTGGTTTGTTAATTAGTGTTTAACTTAGATGAAAAAAGCCATAATGGACATGGCTGCAATACACTGTCTGGCAGGGTTATTCTCACAAGGTGAGAATTGACAGTCATTCAAAGAGAATTTAAAACTGAAGGACAAAATAGTCGAACCTGAAACATCGCTAACTTGGACATTTTTTTTCAAATTCGGCTATATTTGACCTTAAATCTGAAATGCACTTTAAATTCACTTTGTATTCCTGACAATCCTACGTTTTGTGAATAAACCTAATTAATGTTTGTGTGGAACTCAGGTTTGACTCAGTTACAAATTATCCAGGTGGATTTTTATATATATATATATATATTATGTGTAAATATTAGCAATGTTATTCATTGTTTGTTAAATCTTAAAGATTTCACAGGGTTGAAATATATGCTATTAGCAAACAGCACAAAAATGTATCTCCTCTCCAAATTATGTAATGGGTTAGTGTGCGGAAGGATATTTCATTATTATTATTTTATTATTTATATAGCGCCATCACATTCCATAGTGCTGTACAATGGGTGGACTAACAGACATGTAATTTTAACAAGACAATTGGACGTACAGGAACAGAGAGGTGGAGGGCCATGTGCAATGAGTTTACATTCTAGAGAGAGTGGGGTATAGTGACACAAAGGGTAAACGTAGGGGTTCGAAGTAGGTTTTTAGAAAAGTATTCATTGCGGGCTTAGTAGGTAATTTTTGACAGTTGCAGGAGAGGAGTCATGGGGGATTGGGGATAAAAACCTCCTAACAGTTTAATTGATATGCTTTCTTGAAGAAGTGAGTTTTCAGTGATTTTTTTTTGAATGAGAGGGTACTGGGTGAAAGTCTTACAGAGAAGGGAAGGGAGTTCCACAGAAGAGGTGCAGCCATGGAGAAATCTTGGAGGCAGCAATGGGAGTATGGACAGAGGATATACGTAGGTCTTTGGCAGAGCGCAGGGGCCTCGACGGGACATACTTGTGTATTAGGGAGCATACGTAGGTTGGAGCAGCATTATGTAGGGACTTGTAAGCAAGCACCAGAATTTTAAATTGAGCCCCAAATCTAACTGGAAGCCAATGCAGGGACTGATAGAGTGGGGAGGCGTGGGAGGTGCGAGCAGACAGAAAAATGAGCCTTGCCGCCGCATTCATTATAGATTGCAGCAGTGCAATCTGGGAACAAGTAATACCACTGAGAAGGGTATTGTAGTAGTCAAGGCGAGAGAGAACAAGAGCATGGATCAGCACCTTAGCCGCAAATAGTTAAATAGGGGCGATTGCGCACTATGTTTTTGAGATGGACAGGATTTGGCGATTGATTGGACATGAGAGGCGAAGAAGAGGTTGGAGTCAAGAAGAACACCCAGGCTGCGGGCCTGCGAGGTAGAGGTGATGGTAGCACCATTGACTTGGAGGGAGACAGACACGGGAGTAGTAACACTTGAGGGAGGAAAGACCAGAAGTTCTGTTTTGGACAGGTTGAGTTTAAGGAAGTGAGCAGCCATCCAGTTGGAGATCGAAGAGAGGCAGTAAGAGACACGAGTCAAGATGGGCGGAAAGAGATAAGGAGAGGATAGATAGATTTGAGTGTCATCCGCATAGAAATGATAATGGAAGACAAAGGAGCTGATGAGTTTACCAAGGGAGGCAGTATAGATAGAGAACAGTAGGGGACCAAGGACAGAACCTTGGGGGACGCCGACAGAGAGTGGTTGGGGGGAAGAGGCAGAGTCAGAGAAAGAAACCCTGAAAGTGCACTGGGAGAGGTAGGAGGAGCACCAGGAGAGAGCAGTATCCCGTAGACCAAAATTACAGAGAATGCAAAGAAGATGTTGATGATCAACAGTGTCAAAGGCAGCTGAAAGATCAAGGAGAATTAGGATAGAGTAATGGCCACGAGATTTAGCAGCAATTAAATCGTTGGATACTTCATAAAAGCGTACTATAAAAAAATGCTTAGATTTAGTAAACATCATGCAAGTGTGTTTATAACTGTAAATGTGAAAAAGGTTTAAATGGTTTAAAGCAAGCATGTCAAACTCGTGGTCTGCGGGCCGCATGCGGCCCACAATAGACATCTTTGCGAGCTGCGAGTACATGCTTGGTGTTAAATCAGAGTAGGCACCTGCTTTCCCCACATGGCAGGTGCCTACTCTGCTAAAACTTACCCAGCCTGGAAGGAGGGCCAGCGAGGGAGCTCAGTGTTCCTGCTCCTCAATGCTCCCTCGCTCGCGCCGTCTGTAGTGAAGCTGGGCGCCGGAATATGACATCATATTCCGGCACCCAGCATCACTAAACTGCACACAAGGGAGCAGTGAGGAGCAGATAGAAGATCCCCAATGGACCCCAAGGAGAGGCTCCACATCGGCTCCCAAAGGTAGGGAGCAATAAAGAGTGTGTGTCTGTCTGTGTCTGTGAGTGTCTGTAAGTGTCTGTGAGTGTATGTCTGTGAGTGAGTGAGTGTGTGTGTGTCTATCAATGAGTGTGTGTGTGTGTCAATGAGTGTGTCTGTCTGTGTCAGTAAGTGTGTCTGTCTGTCGGTGAGTGTGTGTGTGTGTATCTGTCAGTGTGTTTGTGTCTGTCGGTGAGTGTGTGTGTGTGTGTGTTGGTCAGTGTTACATTGGCTGCGACTGGACAGTGGAGTACCTGGAGGTGCATGGAGGCACGCAACACCACGTCACATTCTGACGTGCTCCAAGTAGCGGGAGGATCAGATTTGACACAGGGTGCGGACGGCGCCATTTGGGGTATACCAGAGGCCGGACTCCGGAGTCGCATACTGGCAGCGGCATTGTGAGTGGAGTCTGCTTGTTGGCTAGTGGGGGGTGCTGGGATTTAGTATATGGGGGACTGAGATTTAGTATATGGGGGGACTGGGGTTTAGTAGAGTGGGGTGCTGTGGTTTAGTAGAGGGGGATGCTGGGGGCTTTTTTATACTGTACTTTTCAAAATAAACCTAAGTTTCTATGAAAATGAAAGATGTTTTTTTGTTGCTGCCCACATAAACTTAAACCTTGTTTATGTGGCCCGTGCAAGACTTTGAGGTTGACATTCTTGGTTTAAAGGTTTAAATGCATACACAGGGTTTCCATGTTTGAACATGAAATTAGTTTCTTTTTTTTTTTTTTTTTTAAAGAAAAGAAATAGATAAGCCATCATTTTTATATTTCAGTTGTTTGAAAACCAAATTGAATGTACACATTGGTTTTGTTTAAATGTTTACAGTATAACATGCTGTGAGTAGAGATGATTAAAATGTATCATGCAAATTCTAATTCTGAAACAAATGCTGCATTTTACAGACTGATTTACAAATGTAATGTAGTTCAGTAGTTAATATAAATTTAGGTTTGTGTAGGTGTGAAATAGCTTAGATATAGGTGTGAAATAGCAAGCTACACAAGCATCCTCATTTTGGAGACACTGTCTATTTTTGGATTCTACTTACCGTATATACTCATGTATAAGTCGATCTTATGTATAAGTCGAGTGCAGTTTTGTGACCAACAATTGTGAAATATGCTATGCCTCGTGGATAAGTCGAGGGTAAAACTTGGGGCTATGAAATTCTGTGATTTTTATAATTATATACACACACACTCATACAAACACACACACTCATACAAACACACACACTTATACAAACACACTCTGCATTACACACACACACTCATACACACTCTGCATTATACACACACACACACACACTCATACACACACACTGCATTATACACACATTCATACACACTGCATTATACACACACACACTCATACACACTGCATTATACACACACACTCATACACACACTCTGCATTATACACACACACACACACACTCTGCATTATACACACACTCATACAAAAACACACTGCATTATATACGCACACATACAAATACACACTCTGCATTATACACACACTCATACAAACAATCTGCATTATATACACACACACACTCATACAAACACACACTCTGCATTATATACGGACACACTCATACAAACACACACTCTGCATTATATAATGTTATTTTGTGTGAATGCAGAGTGTGTGTGTGTGTATATAATGCAGAGTGTGTGTTTGTATGAGTGTGTTTGTGTGTGAACTGGGTGGGGGAGGGCATTTTTATTATTTTTAATTTTAATATTTTAATTTTTTTATTTTAGTATTATTTTTTTATTTTATTTACTTTTTTAATTTTAATATTTTAATTTTTTTATTGTAATTTTTTTTTTATTATTTAATTTTTATTTTCGTCCCCCCTCCCTGCTTGTTAGCTGGCCAGGGAGGGGGGCTCTCATTCCCTGGTGGTCCAGTGGATGGGCTGTGTAGGAGGGGGGCTGGCAGAGAGCTGTTACTTACCTTTCCTGCAGCTCCTGTCAGCTCCCTTCTCCTCTGGTCCGGTCAGCTCCACTGTAAGTCTCGCGAGAGCCGCGGGGTCAGAGCGTTGCCACAGGTTACCGTGGCAACGCTCTGCACAGCAGTCACACCGCGAGACTTACAGTGGAGGAGAAGGGAGCTGACAGGAGCTGCAGGAAGGTAAGTAACAGCTATCTGCCAGCCCCCAACAGGACCGCCGGGCTTGTAATGAGCCCGGCGGTTCTGGTCTGTATTATGGCAATGTAAGTTGCCATAATACAGACACTGACTCGAGTATAAGTCGAGTGGGGTTTTTTCAGCACAAATAATGTGCTGAAAAACTATACTTATACTTGAGTATATATGGTACCTCTTTCCATTTTTAATGCTATTGTGTCCCCATTTCATAGGAAACACTTACTTCGTTACATAAATACATTTGAATTACTCAAGAAGATATATATAATTTTACCCTATTATATCCCTGGAGATACAAGATTCAGAAGGTAGTTGTGTAGTCTTGGGCACCACCTGAATTTTTTGAATCCTTGGAAGTGCTGGTGGAGGAGACCTAATGCGGATGCGCGGCAGTGGGAGCTCGCGCATTAGACCTCCCCATAGGAAAGCATTATTGAATGCTTTCCTGTGGGGAAAATCTGACTCTGAAGGGTCCATGAGGACGTCCAACATCAGATAACGGATCAAAAGTCAGTTTAGATTCTGGAAGACCTCTAATGGCTTCTCTGGAACTGTAGTGTTTTTTTACATTGCAGCACTAATTGCAAAAGGGTCACATGACCCAGACTACTTCAATGAGCTGAAGTGGTCTGGGTGCCTACAGTGTCCCTTTCAGACTTAGAGGTTTTGCTCAGGATCTTCCTTAGGAGACGAGAGCAGTACTACAAAGTGAATCTGATTTTTTTTTTTAAAAAGGAGAACAGCATAGCCCTGTTTGCTCCCTCTGGAGTAAACCGTTCCTCTTCAGAATTTCTAAACATTAAGGATATTCATTATCAGTGTTTGCATCATCACTTGTGCTCTGACAAAACGCTTTTTCCTTTAGTTTTTCATTGTTACACCTGTACTGTATATGCGTATCCCTGGGCAAATCCAGCTAGCCTATCGCATATCTCTCTCTGTCCAAAACAGTCTGTGAGCTTGCATTTGTAAAGTATTTATTGAGCAGAATTGCATTGTTTTTTTTTCTTATCTCTAATTGTGTGCACAGTATTTATATGCTAAACATAAAAGATGTATTTTTTTCTTACTGTTTAAAATAAATTAAACTGAACTTTTTCAAAAAAATAAATCTATTTATTTATATATATATATGTGTGTGTGTGTGTGTGCAGAATTATTGTGTTTGTTTCTGTTTGTTCACTTATTTTTCATTTTCTGAGCAGTGAGTTTCCTGCCATATAAAGAGGACTATGTAATATAAGGAGGATTAAGTATATCGGTTTGTGTTAATAGATTTGTATATGCCAATGATGCCCTGTTTATATAAGACTGTTCGGATTGTTTTGTAAATACCTGCTTCTTATATAAAGTGCACTCTATAGATACACAAAGATACCTTAAGTGTTGCATTTAAAGTGAACCATTCTAGGGTTTTAACATTTTGTTTACTTATTATGTGTTCTGTGAAACATTGAAAATAAAATATAAAACTGTAGAAATACACACTGCTCTTTTTATCTCTACCCCGGAGTGCTTCCACCCTGACTCCCTATCATTATAAAAGTTATTTTTCCTGCTCCTGAACATATTTAGTTTAAGAAGGAAACAGATGTTGTTGTTTTTTACTATGTATTGATTTCTTTCAAAGAAAAGAAAACTAATAATTTTACTTGAAAGCCGTTATTTCAAGACTGATATTTTAAGTCATAACACTCATATATGTTTTAAGTTATTGAATATAAATAATTTCCCAGAGTAAAAGTTATGCCTGTAGAAGGGATTTCAAGGATTACTCCAACCCTTTCTAAAGTTATATATTTTACATTTACTATACAAAATAGGTATAAACTGACCTGTAATCCAGCACCAGACAAAACGTCCCGCTCTGGATTCTACACCCCCTCTGATGTCAGCAGTGCCCTCTCAGAGAAGTATTTAATTTTCCCGTTTGAAGGGGAGGAAGTACTTACATATCTACCTAGGTGTCCACCCCCTTGCAGGGGTTTAAAAGGTAAGTTTTACTTACCGCACATCCTGCAATATGCTGGGGGATGTGCTGCAGCTCCACTTTTTTGGCTGAGTTTACCAATGTTGAAGAGAAACCTTGATTGGCTAGTGTGCCATGCTACACCAATAAAATGAACTCAATGAGAGTTGTCTAAGCTATAACCGAGTTTAACCCATTTGTACCTGCAGAAGCACCTCTAGTGGTTGTACCATAGTCACCTAGACTCTTGCACAGCATGGAAAAATTTAGTTCTGCAGCACATAATTGTTCATTATGTTTTAAAGGTATCATTGGTGATATTGGTGTAGAAGCAGTGTAATGCGATGTGCATCACAGCTTTCTGTCACTGCTTTCCCCAAAGTACAGTCCATGTGAGCAGAGCTTGCGGTTCCAGAGTCGGTCCTGCTCACTAGGAGAGTTGTACGTGGAGAGCAGTTAAAGGTAGCCGCGATGCAAATTGCCTGACATTGCTTCTACAACTATATCACCAAAGGAGTGGGTATAGCATTGTGACTAGCATGCTTATCATTAAAAACACACTGCATATACTGCGCTGTGAAGATGGTTTAGATACTATATTGCTTGCCCTGGTGATACCACCCTGGATTAGCCTCTAGTTTGACGTTGTTAACTTGGTTTTTTTTTTTTTACACTATTAAATTTGGAGCAATAGTGTCAGCTGGTAAATATTAGCTAGAAGTGGGAAACTAGCTGTCTATGGCTCTACCATTAAATTCTATGGGAGCCATTGACAGTAATGACTATATGTTTATGACTATGACTGACAACTACTTTCAGATAATGTAACAGATGGAGCGGAATAAAGTGATTGAAAACCCTTTCCACCTGAAGTCAGTGGATAGTCAATACATTGTTAAAGCAACAAGAAAGATCCCCAGGCACTCAAAGTGTGAAAGCCACAGGCAGATTTATTGAAACAAAAAGGAGAACAGCAACGTTTCGACCTAATAAGAGGTCTTTATCAAGCTAACACCACAAAGCAAACATAAGTGTATATATAGCAATTAATGCTAAGAAAGGGGTCAAACAATAATTCACTTAAGTAATTAGCAAGAATCAATAAATAATACAAAATACGCAGATCATATAAAATATACATGTGTACATACAATATACATAATCATAAAATATATATAAAATCTCATCAATAACTTAACCCTCTGTACCAAGGAAGAGAGAGACAAAACATAAGAATAAAGGTAAATATAAAAATAAATAATGCAAACAGGTTAAAATGCCTTTCCGGAAGTCTAGAAATCATTTCTGGGCAGTTGGAACGCAAAACAGGAATGCCCCCCTCTTACAGGCAAACTGCCAAATAGAGCTCACTATGGGCAGATATAAATCTGTAACACACAAGAATGTAGAAGAATAAGAACAGTGACAATTAACAAGAAGACAAACATACAGATAAATAATAATAAAATATCTAAAGAAATAAAAATTAAAAAAGAATAATAAAACAACAAATAAATAAATAAAAATAATACCAAAATACTAAATAATAATAATAATAAATAAATAATATAAAATAAAAATAACAATAAATAAGAAAAAATACAAATAAAAAATAAAAATTAAAAAGAAATCAATGAAAAAGAAAATAAGGAGTGAAAATAATAAGTAATAAAAATAAAATATAAAAATAAAAAGAATACAAAAGAAATATAGAAAATAATAATTAATACTAATAATTAATAATAATAATAGAAAATTACAGATAATGAAGAGACAGTGGCAATCTCCCATCAATGCACATAATGAGGCACAAACCCATGTATCATAAATCTAAATATCACTTGGAGTGCCTGGGAATCTTTCTTGTTGCCTTAACGTGTTGGGATTGCTGGTCCTGTTCCGGAGCACTGGTGGCCACTGGGAGTGAGTGCGGTTCCTATGATTATCTTTGCAATACATTGTTAAACACATATCTGCACACCAGTCAAGCCATAAGACTTGCTATTCCAACATAAATCACAAATTTGGCTGTGCTGTTACTACTGCAGAGGATTCTGGGTGGGATTATGCAAATTAGTGCAACAAAGAGCCACCTTTTTGCCTTATTATTCCATTTTAAACATGGATTCCTTGGGGTTTATGTTTGCTGTATACAATAGCTTTGAAACACAACTCAGGAAGAATGGATACTAGTGGCCACAAATCCAAAAGGACACAACAGGGGGTAACCCTAATAGAGTAATTGGAATAGAAGAAGAAAAATGTGTGTCCCTATAAAGAAGTGAAAAGATGCTTTATTAAATCAAGGAAAGAGAGAAAACCAACTAACATACAAATATATTGTGAGAACTGTAGCTACTATTCATGAGCTAATGTGGCTCCACACAACAGAGGGTGGTAGCCTAAAACAAAGAGTACACTGGAAAAGAAGAAAAAGTATAATAAAAATTAATAACAAGTACGTATAAGAGGCAAAATGCAGCCTAGAACAATGAAATGCTAAGCCAGGATTTAGTATCAAATCCCAACGTAATCGAGCCCTGCAGAGCCGTGGCTGTAGCTGAAAGATGTTAATGCAACAATATAACTTAGCGTCTCAAATATTGCACTAAGCATGAGATACAATGTAAGCAAATCTGTTCATGCTGCAGAAAGCCCCAATAGTAAAGGAAAAGAGTTTTTCCCAGTATGTTAACAAATCTGTTCATACTACAAAAAAAAAAAACCCTAATAGTAAAGGAAAAGAGTTGTTCCCAATAGGTAATGGATGTCCCGCTACATTTGCATAGCCAAATCGGCGTGGGACAAAATTCTCTCGCAATGCTGTGCTCCCTAGATGCAAAAAGAAACTTTGGCTGAATGCTAGAATACCGTTCGTAGATAAAGATAATTAATGATTTAGTGTCAAATACCGAGGTCTGCGAATCCGTAGCTGTAGCCAAAGACGTTAATGCAACAATGTAACTAATGTGTAACTATTCAATAATATAGCGTCTCAAATGTAGAGCTAACAATAAAATACAATGTTGACAGATCTGTTTAAATTGCAAGGGGCTCCAGTAATAGAGGAAAGCCCAATTCTCTCCTAATGCTAAGCTCCCTAAAAACGGAGGACGTAAAAATTTAGTTCTAAAGTAAGGGAAATAACTAAGAAATGAAATAGTCGGAATAGTGCCTTCGTGGGCACCTTGTATAGTAAAGAAGTAAAGAAGAAAATACAAGATTACGTACTTAGACAGAGATTACAATAAAAAATAAAGAATGAGTACTCTTGAAAAGAAAACAAAAAATGTGCTTAAACTGTATTGGAATGTAACATCAATACGTTAAATAATATGAATACGAACCCTGATCGGTTACAACTATGGTCGATAACTAATTGCCCTGTTTAACAAAAAACGACAAAACGAGCAATTAATTCCCGTCAGCAATAGATGGATATGAACGCCGTGAGAACAGGGGTATCAGGTAAATGAAATCCCGACGCACGTTTCGCCTGTTTTAAAGGCTCGTCAGGGGGAACCGATTCCCACACTTGATCGGGTTTAAAAAGTCTGCTCCTACTCATCATTGGTCAGACTGAGAATAGGGGGAGGTGCTATATGGTCGCCGGCAATGGGCAAAAAAGAAAAATGTCTAAACTCTGCAACTATGCTAATAGACAACAGGGGTCAGAGTAAATCTGATGAGATAGTTAATGTTTTAAATTTAGTAGAGTTATGCAAGCCGGACAAATTAACCATATTCTGAACAGGTTAGAAGGTTGTGAATGTGACACAATTTACAAAGTAATAATCGATACTCATGAATAATGAGTGGGCATTTATAGTTGATAACTAATATATTAGATAAGGAGTAATAGAAAATAATACCTGGAAATAAAAGTATGTACAATAATGTTAATAATGGTTATCAAATGTACTGTATCATAAAGTGCTGAACCAAGATATTGGTGATCTGCTTAAAATGTAAATGCATCAAAAAATAAATATAAATGTAAAGAGTGTAAGTAAGATAAGGCAGTCTCAATAGTTCCTCCCAATAAGGGGAACTCCCAGTACCTATAGGGTAAGACATTTTTGTCAAAATAAATAATAATAAATGTGGTATAATGAAGTATTCATCACGAATAGGAAAGTGTGTATAAAGATGATAAATTTTACACACAAATTAAATTGATTAACGGGATGATAACGAGTAAATTATTCTTAGTAAGAATTAGAAAAGTAAGATCGCCAGGGGATTAGTGTATAAACGATGTATAATTAAATTCTTCATTTAATCCTACAGATGATTAAATAGATAATGCGTGTAGTGCTGCAATTCACTAAAGCATTTGTCTCAATGGTAATGTGAGTTTGTGTAGAGGTGGTCGATTTTGAAGGTCGTATATATTGACATGCCTTACAGTGGCCACATTTAAAGGTCCCTTTGGTGTTAGTA